AACAGCTTTCAAACATTTATTAGAAAGGTTGTAACCTGAATTGTACATGGAAATCCCTCCACCAGAACCAAATGTGATCCTTGCAGTCGGAAGAAGTAACTAATCACCTCTGGATAAGGTTACCTCTGGGTGCTAAGCACAAAGAAACTAAATACCACAAGGTATTTAAAAGAATGTGTGTCCAAGGAGGGAACAGCCAGTAACTATATTTATAGGAAATTATATTTAAGTGGATACTTATGTAACCCAGTCTGGATATTTTCCTGCATGTTGTTATGTAACTTATGTACCTCTTATACACAAAATTATGGAAAACCTTGTGAAACAATGTACATTAATGGTAATACTATAGAAATTTACAGCACAGAAGAATATTGAAACTCTTTTAAAGAGTTTGCCATTTACCTGCCTTTTCTCATATCATCTTTTGCTGTTATTTAGTAGCTGAAGGTTTTTCTGAAGTTTATTTATAAACGCAATATTGTGAAACAATCATGAATTCACAGACATAAATAGTTTTGTTATGAATGTCAACTATGTCTTTAGTGTAATGTTTTCAAAACATTTCAACAATGTAACAATCATTTCTAGACAATGTCAGAGATACGTGTCAATTTCTACTCCGATCCTACAGATATACAGACCGGGGATTATTTTGTAATGTTCTGTATTTAAAATTAAGCAATAACAAATAAAAGGCTTTGTTTTCAACTATTTTAGGAGTCTCAATGGAGATATTATGGATAGAATGTGAAAAAAAAATGTATTTTTTGTAGAAACATTCTCTTTACCACTGCAATTCTAAATGTGTAAAGTTGCATTCACGTACAAACAACTGTACCAAAACAGCAGGAAATAACATTTTGTTAAAATATTCAGAAACCATATCCAAAGACAGTTTGTGTGTTCCAGATGGTCAGTTATGACCCACTGCCAAAGCATCCCTTCCGGTGTTGGGAATCTTGGCTGAGCTCCATATTATAAACTTGCAGTCTGAGGAGTTACCATTTAGCACCAAATGTTTACTGATGTAAAGCAAGTGCTCCAAGAGCGGTTGTTTGAAAAGCTGGAATTTGGCATGATTTTATATTCTATTATATTGGCTACTGCTGGTAAAACAAAGCACAAGGATAGTGTAGATCTCAATTAGAACTTGCCTATTTGGGAATGTAGGCTGGCTGCGCTGTTTCACTTTACTTTCATTTTGTCCTGCGCACCTGTATGAGAAGAATTTTTTTGATTACAAGGAATAATATAATTTATAGCTATACATTTACACAAAGCTAATAAACTGAGGTTAAACAGCTGTTAGCTAGTTTTAACCAATGATTAGGCAGCGTTGCTTAGTTGGTAGAACTAGCCTTTGAAGCAAAAGGGTTCAAGCCTCAATGTCTGTTCCTTTGAACTCACATAGCATAGGCTGACACTCGAACAGTACTTCACTCTAGTACAGTGCTTCCTTGTGGGAGGTGCCAACTTTCAGGATGAGATATTCAACCAAGGTCCCATCTCATCTGCCTGTTGAAGTGAACATTACAAATCCCACGGCACCACTAAAAGTCAAGAGTTTCTCCTGGTGTCCTAACTAATTTCCCAGGAAAAATTGGTCTTTCGCTTCATAGCTGTTTGTCTTGGATTAATGTATGAACATTGGCTACTGGATTTACCTATAGACTACAGTAAAATCCTATGAAATTCTTTTGAGATGTTTTCCCAATGTAAAAGGCACTATATTAAATGCAAGGATTGTTTATGGCAGTGGTCCCTGGCTTCATGCATTTGCCTACAAATAAAGCACTACACCTGACCACAATTACATGTGAACATGTTTTTTCACACGTATAGGCCCAATGCCAAATACACAGGTAACCATTTTTATTTGCTAGTTCCTGTTTGGCCTGCTCCACGTCCCCCGAACCCCCTGCCCCACCATTGGTGGGAGAGCCATCAGCCACTCTGCCTGCCCCCAACCTCTGGAATTCCATGCCACAGTCACTCCGCCTGGCCCCCTCCTTAGCCTTCTTCAAGTCCTGCCTCAAGACCCTCCTCTTTGACCATGCCATCGGCCACCCCCCTTCTCCCCCCCGACCCCAGCTTGGGTCTGAAATGCTGTACTCTGTCAGTGCCTTGGGACGTCCTCCCGACGTGAAAGATGCTATACAAATGTAATCTTGTCATCGTTGTTGCCCTAGGAAGAGTTTTGTTGGCTTATCTGTGCAGTAAGATGTCTCACAATCTTAAAACCAGGTGCTGGACAAATGGTTGTGATCAAAGTGTGGATTATAGATAAATAAGTTAAAGGTAGAGTAACTCTAAGAAGTGAGACTAAAAAGAAATTGTCTCAATATGGACATGTTAATGCAGCATTTTTTGAGCACAACCCTATTTTGCCAATCAGTAAATTAATTCAATTAATTAATCCACTTCACAACATATTCTGTGAAGTGCTTTGAGACATCTCAATGATGTGATAAGGCATTATATCAAATGCAAGGATTATTATTCAACAAATGGCAGCTTCCTGATCATATCCATGTCACCACATACACTAGATGGAGGTGAAGGAGCAAAAATTGGGCTAACCCTGGCCTCTGTTATGCTGTTTGCAACCAATTTCCTCTCCCCTTGCCTTCTAAAGGGTCAGATTCTAACTTGGGTATAGTTTCACAAGCAGTACCTGCTCTCAACTAAGACTGGCCCTAGATGGTCATTGTTTGTAGGATAGCCATGCAAGGAGCGCATCACCACCAAATCCACTCTCCACAGGGTTACTTGTTAGTGATTCAGCAACTACGATTTTTTCCTCAGTCCAAGAGCACTAAAGCAAACAAATGTTCCCCACTGAGATCAGATACAGTACCTTGGCATAACCTAGGTGTTAATCCTGGCACCCATTGACCTCTGGTAAATTGCTCTACTCTATGGAGGTGGTGCTTTTAATCACTAGACCATTCATAGCATGTGAAGTGCAGTTTGCAAATGAGCTTTCCCAGTGTTTAGTGGCAAGCTACTGCTTTCCCTAATACCTCACAGCTGCTATATGTAGCATTCAAGTAAAAAGCATCTTACCCCTACTGTTCAATGAATATAACAATTATTTTAAATGCATGTATTCTCTATTGTCAGGTAATCTTTGTACCACTACTTTTAACTGAACTCTGCACCATCATCCTTAACCATTGAGAATTGGTATTATCCAAAAATCGTAACCGATCAATAGTTGCAATAGTTTCCCTCTTCTGCTAACTTGAATGAGGAAGCTGCTTTAATCATTCAGTTCCCACTTCAATAGTTACAACAGTGCAATGGGATCCCATTGAGAAGAAAAGACAAATTATGTTGTAGTTGCCTTGTATATTAAATGCCTCTTTTCAAATAAGCCCTAAACACTTGTAACAAAATCATGAAGATAATTAACCGTTTTTGTTTTACAGACCGACCATTCTGTGGAAGGAAAAAAATTCCTCGTTGAATCATTGAAGTAGCTATTTTGAATCCAGTCGCCTTCACAGCTACAATATTCCTACGAGATTGGCCCAGTGATCATATTATACTGACTTGGGATCCAATTCCACATTCCAATCTTTGAATCCTTGAGCCAACAATAATTTCAGCTAGAGCCCAGATGGTTTTCGTGGCTCTGTTTTACTCAACCATCTGTGAATCTGCTCAACTGGAAGAACTGCAAACAGGATATGTGCAGTTGGATAAAAGGCAAGAGGAGAAAATAGGAATGTGTCAAAAGCTTGAATTGGAATACTCTAGCTTTTCAGGATCTTGTGTGATATCGCACAGGGAATTATTACTGGAAATTAAAAATTCACAGTACCGAGGACAAAAGTTTTGCATTATGTACCAGTAGTTTCACTTTCTTTAATAGAAGCAATATCAAAATTATAAAGCACAGAAAGAGGCCATTTGGCCCATCATGTCTGCGCCGGCTCTTTGAAAAGAGCTATCCAAATCAATCCCACTCCCCCGTTCTCTCCCCACAGCCCTCAAACTCGTCCTCCCCAAATAATTATCTTAGAATATGCTCCAAAATGCACATTTTACAGTGTGCAGATGATAGGGCAGCAAAAATCTCATTATTCTAAAGTTGGCTTCAGGAGCAGTGTTTGTGCTCCCATTGGTATCCAAATCCCCTGCTGGAAAATATGTGGAAATTGGTTCAAGGCAGTTTTGAAGGGGGTCTCAGCTGGGGATGGATGCTCCTCTTCCTGGGGGGGGGGAGGTGGGGGGGGGGGGTGGAGGGGAGGGAGGTGGGTGGGTGGGGTGGAGGGGAGGGAGGTGGGTGGGTGGGGGTGGAGGGGAGGGAGGGGGGTGGGGGTGGGGGGGGGGGGGGGGGGGGGGGTGGAGGGGAGGGAGGGGGGTGGGTGGGGGTGGAGGGGAGGGAGGGGGTGGGTGGGGGTGGAGGGGAGGGAGGGGGTGGGTGGGGTGGAGGGGAGGGAGGGGGGTGGGTGGGGGTGGAGGGGAGGGAGGGGGGTGGGTGGGGGTGGAGGGGAGGGAGGGGGTGGGTGGGGTGGAGGGGAGGGAGGGGGGTGGGTGGGGGTGGAGGGGAGGGAGGGGGTGGGTGGGGGTGGAGGGGAGGGAGGGGGTGGGTGGGGGTGGAGGGGAGGGAGGGGGGTGGGTGGGGGTGGAGGGGAGGGAGGGGGTGGGTGGGGGTGGAGGGGAGGGAGGGGGGTGGGTGGGGGTGGAGGGGAGGGAGGGGGGTGGGGTGGGGGGGGAGGGGGGGGGGGGGGGAGGGGGGGGGGGGTGGGGGTGGGGGGAGGGGGTGGGTGGGGGTGGAGGAGAGGGAGGTGGGTGGGTGGGGGTGGAGGGGAGGGAGGTGGGTGGGTGGGGGTGGAGGGGAGGGAGGTGGGGGCTGAGAAGGAGGGACACAGTGATTTCAGACGAAAAGGCTTCTCTCGGTAGAACAGGGCATTGCAATGAACCGAGTCGGGTTTTATTCAGCAACTGGGTGGACCTCACATCCACCCTGTGTCCTGGCACCAGGGGGGCAACTGGGGCTCAGGTCACTGTCAGGTAGTGATGGTGTCACAGTGCAGGGCATCGCCTGTGACGTGCCCACAAGGCGGGCACCAGCCCACACAGCGGGGCTACACCAAAGGCAATCCGTGCCGGAGGAGGCGATGGGGAAGGGGGAGAAATAACAATGAAAACACTTTGGATCGCTGCTCAACTAAAGTAAGTCCTCCAACTGCAACCCAGTCTGATGTATGCAAGTCGAGAAATTGTCCCGGGGGCTATTTGCTGGTTGCTTTTTTTTTTTGCAATATGATATGATATAATGTAATGTAATGTAATATAATAAAAAAAAGTGTTTCAATGAATTGGCTGGCACCAACTGCCAGGTCGTATTTGCTGTGTATAAAAAAAGGAAGCAATGCAAATGTCTTTTTTGTTGCATTTGGAATGCGATGTAAATGGGTCTTTTCACTCCTGATGTGCAGATAAAGAATACGTTTAATCTCATTTCTGTCCAGAAATTTTTTTTTCGAGGGGGTGGGGTGGGGGGATGGTGGGGGTGGGATTTATTTGAAGGTTTCCTTTGTTCGTCCTACCATTGCAGTTTAGTCTTTGAAGAAATACGATGTGTTGGTACTACTATAGAATACTATTCTGTTTGCAAATCTAATCATCGTGCAGTGCCATGGTGAATGTAATGTCAGTGCTGAGGCTTGCTGGCTCTCACACTGGACTGTAAATGGTGGAGGATGTCAATGATCAGAGTGGTCACACTGTGGTTAAATTTAAAGTCAAGTTCAAACTTGAAATTAGGAGAACAGCGAAATAAATCCATAGTCTGGCTCGATTTGGAAGCAATCTCAGTGCTGGGTTAGCAGGCGGCTGGTTCAACCCTCTGTCTTTGGAAATTGGATTTACACCCTAGGCTGAGAATCCAGTGGGGAAAGCGTTGATTGTTGGAGGTATGGTCCTTTGGACTAGATGTTAAACCAAGATTTTGTCTGCGTAAGTCCATGGTAAAAGAGAAGGAACTTTCTTCTGGCACTCTGGCGGATCCTTCAGATTTAATCATGTTTGTGGGCCTCTGCTTGTGTGCAAAGTGGCTCCTGCGTTTGCTTTCCCAGAAACAATCGCTACAGCAATTACTGTAAAGCATTTCAGATGTCTTGCTATAAAAACATGTCATATCTTTTTTTATATACAATATTGTGAAGAGATTTAAAATAATGGGTCAGAGTCTCAAATTCTTTTGAAGAGTTTTGAAGATGAGTAGACAGGTTTGACTACCTCACATAAATAAAGAGATTAAAATGTGGAGTAGGTCCAGGGAGGTGAATATTGTGAGCCATTTAATGAGAGATTTGAATGCATGTTTGATGCCAAAAGGTGTTTGGTGGGTTGTTGATATACTGAGGTGCCATTTGGAAATAAGACCTATATTCATAATTTTGTATGATTCCATGCCCTACTGTTCCAAATAAAATATTTACATACTTTATGTTTTATTTCAGCAATTAAAAAGTAGACCATGTCCCTTAAACGGTCAAAACTGGATTCTACATCTGATTCCTCTGGAAGTAGAAGACCTTCTTTTCAGATTTCAGAACTTGAGGGAATAGATATTAGTGCAGAGAGTGAAAAACTTTTGCAATCAGATCATGTGCTTTGGAAGAAAAAGTTTAATCGTAAGGTACAAAGGCGAGTCCATTATTTGCAGACAAAGAAAAAATACATTGCACGCCTCTACAAAGAAGAAAAGAATAATATAGAGAAGAGAATTCCAATAGATCTGTTGACAAGGGATTGGTTCAATGAAAATAAATTGACAGTGCATTCTCGTCTGTACGCACTGGAAAACCTGTTGCCTGCTCTGATTGTAGCCTTGGAGAGGCTGTTAATAGAAGTTAGACAAAATAATTTGACAGTGGTGGAGAAACCACATCCATACTTTAACCCCATTAATTTCTTAGCCCAGCATCTAATGAGGAACAACCCGCGTCACTGTGACTTTCCAGAATCATCTCCCTATATGCGTGGCTTGAAACAGGTGCTGGAGGACTTGAGAGATCAAGTTGTTGATATCAAGGATAACAGGCAAGTGCTGTCAGAATATTTATATGATCTTGTTTTTATTCCATTTTCTCCCCTCCTACAGGTTCCGATTGTGTTGGGGTACAGCTTTGTTTGAATTGGCTGCATCCAGAACCTCACACAGCAACAACAACAACTTGCATTTATATAGCGCTCTTCACACTTGGGTTACGTCCCGGAACGCTTCACAGTGGCAGAGTCTGACAACGAGCCGGGGGAGAGGGAGGGAGAATTGGGCCATTATTCATATCCAAGCTAAGGCAATGAATGTTGGTAGGCAATTTCAACACAGTTTGCAACACGGTGGAACCCAGTTCTCTTCTTAACCCAACATCCATCTAAGGACGCCTTCCCGATGTGAAAGGTCGCTATACAAATGCAATTTGTGGTTGTTGTATTGGAGTATACAGTCTATATTTACTCAGCCTCTCATAGTCAAATAATGTTCTTGCAAATTCCTTGGCTGTTGGAAGTGTAGTATTTGGAGATGCTGGAATCAATTAAATTACTGTATGATGTTACAGGATTGGAATGAAACATTTGTTGGGAAATGTCATTGTTAGAAGACAAATACCATACTATCATGAAAGGAAAGTGAGTCAACGTTGACTCACTTTCCTTTCTCCATAGATGCTGCCTGAACTGCTGAGTGTTCCCAGTGACTTCTGTTTTTGTTTCAGATTTCCAGCATCTGCAGTATTTTGCACTTTGTTTCTACCGTACTATCATCAACCTGTTGACATGTGGTTTTGGCCTTAAGTTAAAATATAACTTGCTTTGGGGAATGGATCTTATCTGGGACTTGACTAAGTGTTTACACATCCACATTTCTATAGAAGAAAGAGTTATAATGTGGGCTGCAATAAAGTCAAAAGGACATGGCTTGTCGAGGAGAATGTTATCCCATTGAAATTGTAATCATGGATTTATTGTTTTAGTATGAATGAAATTACTCAGAAACTGGTAGTGTTGATGATGATTCGTTTACATCGCAGACTTGCCAAGCTGAAAATAGAAACAAAGGAGAGAAACAAGATGAGGATTCAGGTGAAAAAACAACTCTTGGTGCATGAAAAGAGGGACAAACAAATTTTGCTGGCGAAGTATGAAGAATGGATCCGGAGGATTGATGGAACCTTAGAGCTTGCTTTGGTAAAATTCCGTACATTAGTAGAAACCTGTTAGATCCCAGAGGTCCAGTATTTCTTATGGTCTTTGCCTTTATGATTATGGACTTCAAATGTAACATTGTGTATAATTCTTAAATTTGGACTTTATTTGAAAGCAACACTTTTGGTTTGTGAATACTGTATCTGCAATCCCATTGTTTTCCAAAACTGAATCAAGGCAATGCTAGGTTTACAATGCAGGTGGGCTCAGATATAACATAGGCTTGTTTTAGCATGACATACCCTGGAGCCATGGTATACCACAATATGGTACATTTATGGTTTATGTCATTGATTGACTAGTCATCTTCTTGTGTTAGCGCAATCTTCCACTTTGACCGTGCCTTTGGTTATCTGCCCCCTCCTTCCCCCCGCCACTCGTAGCCTCCAATCCTCAGCTCGGGTGCAAACCGAAAATATCCTCCCAGTGTGAAATTACATAAATGTAATTTGTTATTGTAGTTGTTGACTGGCCATCATCTTATAGAAAATTGACAAGAAAATAAAAGAATAAAAAAGTAATCTAATTTATTCCAGAGCTGTGGGGTGTCGGGAAAGGTGAGAAATGTGAATCTCACAAATAATTTCTGACATCTTTATTTGTTCTTTAGGTTCAAAATATTTTAGTGTCCTTTTTGGATCATCCTATGATGTCCTCCCAAGGTAAGCTCAGGAAGGCTAAGTGGATGAAAATGTCAAACCATCTTAATTTATTTCAACACTCTTCCCAGTTTGGCACGGAAACTAAATGTCTAGACCTCAAGGGATTAGACATAAGAATTTGTGTGAAGTAGAATGGCAACCACTCCAAACATTTGCGTGAGAGAAAGTTTTAGATTGAACAATTTTCTATTTATTGTACAAATTGTATCACCAATGTATTGAATTCTTCCCTCACACCCTGCCCCATATTTTACAAGTTATTTTTTAAATTTACTTTATAGCGGATTACAACTGCTCGGTTTAAAGATGCTTCTCTTCCAGCTGTGGAGATGTGGAAATGGAAGCTTGATTTATACATCCCCCTTGTTATTGCATAATTATAAATTGAGCCTCAGAGATGGTACCAGAAGAGATGGAGGGTGTTCCTCTGGCACCGGTCTGCTCCACATTCTCCGCCCTAACCGCCCTATCATCGGTGGCCGGGCCTTCAGCCTCTCAGCCCCGAGGCTCTGGAACTCCATCCCCCAGTGCCTTCGCCGCTTCCTCCCTTTCCTCCTTCAAGGCCGGTCTCAAGACCTTTCTCTTTGACCGTACCTTCAGCTCCCCTCTCGACTCTCTACCCCCTCCTCGCTCCCTCCCTTCCCTACCCTCACCCTGACCATTTCTCCACTGCTCGGGTCCTGACCCAACTGTCCAGCGCCTTGGGACGTCCTCCCGACGTGAAAGGCGCTCTATAAATGAAATCTTGTTGTTGTAGTCTTCTGTCATTTTCTTTGGCGTAAATGTTACAGAAAAAAGTATTGACATACTATATATATTTGGTAACTGGCTCTTTTTAAAAAAAATTATTGTCCATTTTCGCATCAGTGCAGAGGCGGTTGATATAAATTTGATACAAATGCTACATTACAAAAATGTCTCCTCGCAGCATGAAACGGATTGTTGCTGACGTCCTATTTAAAGTGGCTCTCTGCCTTCCACTTGCTCATTAAAAGATTGTTCTTCACCTGTTTGCTTTGGATGGTGCAGTATTTATGGTTTGGGCTTTGGATTTGTTTCTTCACTACCGCTAGTCAGAAATACATTCCAGCACATCCGTTTGAAAAGAAGGAACTTGTATGCTTACGGTGCCTAATCACGTTGAAAGTCTCAAGTCACTTTAGGGAAATTACTGTCAAAATAATCTGTGGTGGTTACAAAGCCATGGCCAGAACAAACAATTGTATCCCCTGGCTCCACAGAAATTATAGGCACCTTAACTTATTTTATCAAGGGTACAACATGTAGATGTGTAACTTTTTTTTAGTGTTTTATTAAAACCGAAACAAGTTGCATCACATTTCTATTCTGAGAGCAATGTGTCAGCCTGTCCTGTCTCTGTGTGTTTTGGATGTTTTGTGTAGGTACGCAATTTGCGAAGAAAATGGAGGAAACGGATACAACAGGAAAAATCTTAGATGGACAAGGGTTTGCAGAGGTGAGAAATGATTTTGTCAGTCTATGGAAATTGAACAATTTACTTTCCTGATAGGGAAGGGGGAAGTGTGCAACAGCTAGTGCTAAGTTTTTGAATACATACCTATTTTTGTTTTCTGTCTGAATATGTGGGAGACGAAATTTCCTTTTTATTCATCAGTCGATTACCGCTCTTTGGTTTAAAAAATTATGATCAAAATGGCAGATAAGGTGGTACATAGCACGGCAATAAATAATTTATAATTTATTCGTAGCCTTACCATCACACTCAAAGATCAAGTGACATATTGCCACCAGGATAATAGCCCTCGCAATATTGAACTACAGCCAGCTAGTGATTGCTTTTGGCTCATAATCTTTCCCAGACAAGTGGTTTTTTATTTCCCCTGTAGACAGTGACCTTGACTTTACAGAGAAGGCTCCTCCTTTAGCTCGGTTGGAGGATGTGAGGAATGCTCGATTTGATCTTAGTCTTTGTTTGTACGAAGTGCAAGATAAAAGAGGTTATTTGCAGCAAGCACAAAGACGATCTGCATCAGAGGCTCAGGAACCTTTTGCAGGCGATGCTTATTAAATAATAACCCCGATTGACGTCAGTGTACCAGAGCTTCTTTGCTGTATTTGAAGGTAATGTAGTGCTGTATGTATGTGTGTGCGTATGCGTACTTGATTAAATTCTCCTTTAATTATCAAGTCTTTACCCTTTTTGTGGTAATAAATCAGTTAGGCCTGAACCTATCTACTATTGACACACATGGATCAAAATGAGTCCTCTCAGCCAGGCACTTCAAGATTACATACCTGTTAACCCATCTGATGAGTTTGTATGCTGGTCGTCTATCTGACTTATGATCTGTAGAGATCACAAGGCAGTAATCTCATCTAGAAGTTCAAATAATGCCAAACTGCCATGGTGATACTAAGCATTTCCTTTTTTCAAGCCATTTTTTCTCCTTCAGTTGCACCTGCCTCTCTCCCTCCTGAAGCGGTTTGTGGAATACAGTTGACCTCAGTGTTGCTGGGCTAGTGAGAAGAAATCAATTGAGGTTTCCTCTCTTGGTCGCTATCAAGGGTGTAATGTGTGGACCTTGTGCAAGCACAGGAATGCACTCAGCTACAATGCCTCATCACGTTCGCAACTTGGTTCACACATACGTTCAGAATGCACGGAGCAGTTCGTCAAAAAAAGTGATCTAAACTTTAGCACTCTCCCAAGGACACACACACACTCTGGGATCTCTATGCCTTGGCTCTTCCCAAACTGCATCTAAAATACTCTCCGAGTGTAGGTAAAGAGGTTGGGTCTCTCTCAGGAGGAGAGTTCACATTCTATTTCAGACAAAGGGAATGGGTGGCAATGAGTACATGGAACTTTCAGTCTGGTTTGGATGAATCTCCACATGTGCCAATCATCTGGCTGGCCAAAAAAAAAAGAGGAAGGAAGAAGACTTTTATTTAAAAAAAAAGGCAGCACTTTTATGAAATACAGCACCTACGTACACGGGGAGAAGGAGTATTCCGCATTGTGCTGGGTGCTTTTGCACGAACCACCTTAAATTACGTCTGCAACATTTACTTAATCTGTGCCCTCTCTCTTCCCCTTAGCAGTGCGCCGCTAAAGACATGTGGCATAGCAGCTGGCGTGGCACAGGAACAAAATCGTTCGCGCATACACACAGTATAGCAACGGGCGTTTGCAAAAAAAAAACAACTCCCACCCCCCGCAAAGCGCTGTTTGCCACAAGGCAAACATCATCGTTTGTTTTCACTTTACAAAATGAGTATTCCATAACAGCAGGAAATGCAGCGTTAAAAAAAAATTGAAAGTCAAGGTTCAGTAAGTCCGAAGAAAGATAACTTTCTGACTGAGAGCCTTGTAATGAGAACAGGGAGTAAGCACATTAGCTCCTCTGTGGAATCCTACTTTTTGATTTTTTCTTAATTGAACTGCTGTAGGCCAGAAGCCAGCCTTTGACTCGAGATATGTTAACTGTTGGTTTTACTGCAGTCTGTCTCGTTTCCTCTATAGCTTTGGGCTTTATTTGAGCGCCCTTATCTCTCTCTTCACCGCAGCAATCCGTGTTTCCTGCATTTTTATCTGTCACTTCTTTTTTCCCCCCAATGGTTCTCTGGAGTTCCACCAGTCTGCTGGGTTTGTTTGGGGGTGGGGTGGGGGGGGAAGGCACAGTTTCCCTTTCTTGCTGTGTGCAAAGCTTTTGCTGTCTACAAATACTTCCTCTTCCCCTTTTGGTAGTTGTCGGTAATTTTCCATTGTCTCTGCATTGATAACCCATTGGTGACTTGAACTGCAAGAGCATGGTCAGCAGTTACGTTTTTGCTTGCACCACAAGGGGATTTTTTTTGCTTCCCGACAAAATTTGTCACTCTATATTCCTGTTTAGGAGCCCTTAAAGTGATTTATCCATCAAACCTGCTTTCTTTGATATTGTACCTTTTTTTTCCTCTCCTACCCCCATTTGTTAAATACAGTTTTGCCACCACTTAAAGACTCTTTGAATCACTGTTTGTGGGGACGCTGCTGTGCGCAATTGGCTGCCGCGTTTCGCCCACAAATATACAGTCAATTCACTTTACAGTCTATTCCGTGAAGCGCTTTGAGACGTCTCGAAGAAGTGATAAAGCAATGTATCAAATGCAGGGATTATTATTATTATCATATCCCTGTTTACCCTGTATCAGTGCGTCATTATCATCTGCCCTCTTCCCAGCCCAGTGCCAGTCACTCTGATAATATCTGATAACACCGATACCAGTAACCATCCACATCTTGTCATCCAGAGAGTCACTTTAGCGTAAACTAAATATTTTGCTGTGTGTTATTATGCTGGTCTGCCTCGCACCAGTGAAATGTAGAACCACGCCAGCTGGCTTCAAATATCTCACTTGTCTTAGCCTGCAGACCATCATTTTAAAAATGAATTTTAAATTCCAATTTTTGAAAATTTTCAAATTCAGCCTTAATTTGATAAAACAACTGTTCCTGACACCCAACTTCCAAATTAAAAGTGAGTGTAAGAATTTACCAAGATTCTGCACCATCCTGAAATTGCATGACAATACTCTTAAGGCTGAAACCAAGTGGAATTTCACACCCTAGAAGCATTATTATAATATTCAGTGCTTTGAGAAGGTACTTTAACTGCAGTGTATTCTCAAGAATATCCTCAAGTAGGGATATGAAAGATACTTGATGTTTTATGATGTTTGGTACATTGAGGGTATATTGAAGTGCTGGTTTTGTTGGTGATACTGATGAAAGTCTCTGTATTTGGCTGAGGCTTTTGGGGACATTTTACACTTAAATCCAAATGATGCGTGGGCTGTAAGTAGGATAGGATTTAGCTAGAGCTGTGACAGGATAGAAATTGGCTGCATTCAAGACCGGAATAGGACGAGCTGTTTACATTAAACTAGAAACACATTTCATTTTAATTTGGAGCATTGCATCTACATCAAAGCCATCTTGGTCAGTGCATCTGAACTGGAAAAGCAGAACATTGTTCAGATTTTTGTGGTGGTGTAAAGTCCTGGGAAAATAGCAACTGTAGCTTAAAAGACTACAGTTTAATTTGTCTCTGTATTCCAGTATGTTCATTCCTGTGTGCATTTTTCTTTCCCAATTTTTTTTTGTCATTAATCTGCAATAACGTCAAGAGATTATCGTGAAGTTTTTACATTTTTTTTAAAAAAAAGAAATGGATTTAAAAACCTATGAACCTACCATGCATTAGGAACTCATTGGTGATTCACCCCAACCCATTTGTCTGACTCTTCCCAACCCAACCCATTGAGTGGTGGTTCTACCAGTTGGAAGTGTGGGTCTTCAGCAATAGTTGCTTGTGTCTCATGCACAAGAATCAAGGTAGACATAAATCCTGGATTGTGTCCCTGAGCCCAGACTTCAGGTACCTCCTTTCAGCAGCAGTTGTCCTTACAGCTGTTGTCTCTTCATCAGCAGTTTGACAGACATTTAAGCCAGCACCACGTGGTGCTGTAACCGATCTGTTTGGGGATTAGCAAGTGAAATTACTTTGAGCAGAAGCAATAGTAAGAGTTTAATTTGCATGTAGTTAACCAGTTGCTGTGACCCTTTGTGATTAGTGAGGATTAGGGTCTGTATAAAGCATCTGAAATCCTGGAGTAGGTTTTTTTTACATAACCACTTGGCATTGACATTCAATAGACCCTGTTCACTGGAGCTTGATGGTTCCAATTTGACACCCTCTTATCACTGAATACAAAAGCTGCTGTTATGAGAATGGAAATGGGGGAAGGAGGAAGGGCGGAAAAATGACATCAACTCTTGGGAACGATCCACACAATTGCCAAATGGATTCCGTGCGCCTTCTGTGATATGTGCGTGGTGATTTCATAATCGGAATGACTTAATAATAATGTGCTTGCGAGAGATGAGCAGACAGATCACATAACAGTGCTTAAGTGTCCAATACAAAGCATTATGGGCCCTAGCAATTGGCTCTTCTAACATATGCTGGGTTAAGGCATGTGGGACACTGCCATGCGTGAGCGACGCTATATAAATGCAAGTTGTTGCTGTGTGATGCTTGCTGCACACTAGTGACAAGAGAATGTGCCGACTCTTGGGTGTTTTTTTGAACTGCCTCAACTTTGACTTACAATAGTCTGTTTGTTTCTGCACAGGAAATGGTGATGTTATTACATTTAAGTGGTTAGAAGCATGGACATCAGAGAGTGAATGCCTCCAATAGGGGAAGTGAGAAAATGCATCAAACAATTTTGTGTCAGGACAGGTTTTGTTTTTCAAAAAAAAACAGTGTAAAAAGCTCCCTATAATCTCTTCAGTAAGGCTTGATGTCACTGCAGGTTAGCGACAAAGAGCAATTTAAATTGATTATGATTCTCAGATTATGATGGATTCTCCTCGCTAGCTACACGCAAGGCTAGCATTAATTCTTTGTGATTTAGCACAGATTTATCACAAAAGAGATATTAGAGGTCATTGAACTGGGCTGGATTATCTGAGTCACTCGTGGAGTCCTGTAGCGTATTGGTTACAGCACTTGCCTCGCAAGCGAGAGGACCTGGGTTCGATTCCTGGGCGAAACGTTAGGCATGTTTCCTTACTCCACACAACTCTGTTTACCAAGCAGTAAGAAGGAACCCGGTTGTTAGTCACTTGGCAGATTGCTGTTCCGGGATAATAATCCCTTAAAAACATAATAATAGTTTGGTCACTCAACCCACGACTGTTTGTGGGGTCGCTGCTGTGCGCAATTGACTGCTGCATTTCGCCCACAAAATATACAGTCAATTCACTTTACAGTATATTCTGTGAAGAGCTTTGAGACGTCTCAAAGACATGATAAGGCGCTACATCAAATGCAAAGATTATTATTTTTATTATTAAATACATGCTGTGTGTGGCTCTTTTTATACCATTGAACCACTGAAAGCTGAACGACAGCATTGCTTTCGTACATGTCAGCACCTGTTCTGTTGGCATTCTAGGATTAAGAGCTGTCAAAATCAAAATGAACAACATAGTTCTTTTCTCTTAACCATGTCAAAATGTCAGCGCGCTTCAAAGAAAGCGAGTGGGTTGAATTAAAGCAAACCGCAACAGAAAGCTTTTTATTCGCAAGGCATTTCGTCCGCATTCCTAACACAAGCAGAAACCGTCTCGAACCCATTCATAGTCTCCTGAGCTTTCAGAAGATTAGACTATTAGGAGATTGTTTGAAATGGTTCTGTCTAAATAAATTTTAGCTTTCTCCAAGAAACATTGCACTGAAGTGTTGCTGGGATTCACACTTGAGCTGTTACACTGAGCCACATATTGACTGAATTTCCTCCCTCCCACCCAGCTTTCCCAAACCATTAGGATGTTGATGTTACCCTTTAAGTAGTATTAAAATTACACCGGTGCACTAGTAACATGTTAGCAACAGACCAGTGTACATCAATCTCGTAGTCACTTCACCATGGGACGATTTATTTCACTGGAAGTCACATTTGATACGTTGTAAGGCTGTTGATAATTACAAGTTTGCAGGGCTATGGGGAGAGAGTAAGGGAGTGGGGTTGATTTGGATAGCTCTTTTCAAAGAACCGCCACAGACACGACAGGTACGAATGGCCTCCTTCTGTGCTGTATAAATCTATGATCCTGTATCACTTTGTGAAATGTGCTTAAATAGTCTTTATTGCGTATAAAGTACTGTCCGGCTGAGAATGGCTCCACTATCCAGCGAAGTTAATGGCAAATTAAGTCTCATCAATTTCGGCAGCCGTCAGTATTCTATTGTACTAAAGTCTACATCTCAAGAGCGATAAATATCAAGACTTATTGGAAAACTATTGATTTTTAAAACAAAAATTATTCCTTTTCCCCTCAGTATTTATATGATTACGTGAAAAACCAGCCGCCTGATGTTTTTAAGAGTTTCCTCTCGCATATTTCTGAATGTGCAATGATTTTGCAAGAAGGAGCGAAAGAAAATGAGCTGAGGCTGAAATTCGCCCTTCTGTTTTCAGCATGTGACAATGGAAAGGTCAGTGATTAGAGAGAGTGCTGTTTAAGAGAGATGTGCTGATGGGTGAAACGATAAGTAGAATTAATTCCTAAGTAATTTAAGTAACTGAATGTGCGATGGAGCAGGGCTAGAAAAAGCTGCAGATGTGTCAAACAGGAATATGGACCTCTGACAAATCCCATCTCCAGAATCTGAGTTGTTCCTGACAGTACAAACCATTCTTGCATATTCAAGTCTATGTACCTGTTAGAAAGAAGGAACAAAAGAAGGAAAGAAGTATTTATTTTTTATGAGGTATTTAAGAAAGCGATAGATAGAAACGTGGCTAAATGGGATTAGCAATTGTAATTTGTGGAGTCCTGTAGCTCAGTGGTTGGACCACTCGCTTTGCAAGCGAGACACCTGGGTTCAATTCCCGACAGGGCGAAACCTTGGGCAAGTTTCCTTACTTCACACGCCTGATAATAATCCCTCAAAAAAACCAATAATTAATTGGTCATTTCAATCCACGACTGTTTGTGGGACACTGCTGTGCGCAATTGTCTGCCGCGTTTCGCCCACAAATGTACAGTCAATTCACTTTACAATCTATTCTGTGAAGCACTTTGAGACGTCTAGAAGACGTGAAAAGTGCTATATCAAATGCAAGGATTATTATTATTGTGATGTAGGCCCGTGAATTCTGAATTCCCCATGTTCCTAAGTTACTGGAAGACTATCCGTGAATCACTATCCTAGATTGATTCAGCACCTTCAAGAGAGAAATAAAAGGTTAGGGGAGTGGGACTGGGAATGTTGCCAAAGGCACAGTGAAAGAGAAAGGTCTTTAGATGGGCCTTGAAGAAGGCTAGGGAGGGGGGCGAGGCGGAGGGATTTGGGGATGGAGTTCCAGAGGGTGGCGGCAGAAAAGCTGAAGGCTAAGCATGATTGGGTGGAATTATTTTTAATGACAAGGTCTTTATAGATCACAGATCACCGATAGTTAACAAGGTAATGGTGGGGTCAGGGGTGGGATTTCATTGATTTGGTTTCACTGGCATTCTCTACTAGCCTTGGAGATAGCTTTCCTTTTGATTTTTCTCTTGCCTTGTGATGAAAAAGTTGGCTGCCCTCCAGCAAGTTGCCACAAGCCATGCAGACAAGATTCGAATGGGATGGGGATTGAATGTTCCCTAACGCTATTCCACTCTTCCATTCTTGTCACCCTGTCTTAATCAAGTTCCCAGTGGATTTGAAATAGAGCACAAATAATCTGTCACTAATTGAACCTTTTGGCTCAGAGAGAAACAGGAAAGAGCACAAGAAAACAACGTGTATATTAGACAAAATGTAAACCATTCCCTAGTGCAGATGTGATATGTGCTGGTTGCTAACCTACAACAGTATATACAGGAGTAGGCTTTGCTGTCGTGTGACAGTTTGCCTCCAATATACAGTCAGGTTTGACAGTGAAGCACTTTTGAGACATTTCAATCTGCTGAGGCACCATAAATAAAGCACCAAAAAATAATAATAATTTGGCTACTCAATCCACGACGGTTTGTGGGACACTGTGGTGCATTTCGCCCACAAAATATACGGTCAATTTAATTTACAGTATATTCTATGAAGCACTTTGAGACTTCTCAATAATGTGATAAGGTGCTGTATCAAATGCAAGGATTATTATAATAAAACTATTATTATAAAACTTTCACAGTTTACCTAAGACTGATGATTATCTCTGAAAGGAATTGAATTCAGAGCAAGAAAGCTGGAATCTTACATATCATACTACTCTTATCAATAGTTTCACTAACAAAATGAAAAATAAGGGGCTATATTATGCATGAGTATATGAATAGGTTAAATAAAATTAAATGTTTTTTTTCTCTGTAGGGTGGATACTTGGATCGGAAGATGATTTTACAATTATTTGAGAAGTTCTATGACCACAGCCCAACCAAAACTAAACATCAATTACGTAATCCAAGAGAATGTGAGTTTCATGAGAATAAGAGATGAATGGTACACAATAGAGGAGAGACAAAGTGATGACTTTATTTAAATATTGATCTATTTCCCTATAAACGTTGTGTAATAGGTTGTATACTAAGTGTCACTTTGGTTCAGTTGGCAGCACTTTTATCTCAGAAGGTACCTCTGATTGTTAGTCAATTGGCAAATCACTTTTCGGGGGGCAATAACCCTTTAAAAATAATAATAATAATAATAATAATTTGGTCACTCAATCCACGACTGTTTGTGGGACACTGCTGTGTGCAATTGGCTGCCGCGTTTCGCCCACAAAATATAGTCTATTTACTTTACAGTATATTTTGTGAAGTGCTTTGAGACGTCTCAACGATTATTATTATTATTATTATTTTATTATTATAGAAGGTTACAGGTTTGAGTCTATGACGGGGCTTTGAGTAAGCTGGGAGTTTGCTAGTAGGAGTATGCTGTATTGTCAAAGGTGGCCTCGTTCGATGAGATGGTAAACCGAGGTCTGCTTATCTAAACACACAGTCACTACACAATCAATGGTGAAGCCCTTTGAAGATTTTAGAAATTATAAGTGCTACATCAACTGCAAAGATTTTTGCACTCACTGAAATTTTTTTTTAAAAATCGCAGTACGGATATAATTTGTAAAAATAGCGATTATGTGAAACTGCTTACTTTGGTCATATTTCTCCGCAAAACACACAGTCACTGCTCTCAGAAGCAGCTCGAGACGACCTCCCAACATGAAAGTCACTATAACAAATGTAAGGATATTACTGTGTGCGTTTTCACTAGGGCCTGTACTTGAACTTGATGAATTGGGCACCATAGTCTTTGTTCCTGACCTTCAACGTAAAAAAATCATCTTTCATGCCAAAAGAACTGCGGAGGTGGACGAAACAGCAGTGATTCAGTTTGTGGTACCAGTTGTTGATCAGGAAAAAGCTAAGCAGACGGTGGATCAGCCTGCCAGTGAACCCAAACAGGATGTAGACCACAAAGAAGATGATATGAAGAAAGGTGGAGCAGAAGACTCTTACAAACCCAGTAGAGAAGCAGAAACAACACAGGAAACAACATTGTCCGCAGAGACCAGTGCAACTCAAGACAAAGGTGAGCAATTGCCCTCAGCTGGAAAGCGTAGGAATAGAATCATTCAAAATAAATTGTAATAGAGTGGAATTTAAAAGGTAGCAAAGGTCAGAAACAAGCCAGTGTAATATTAAGATTGCCTTTATGTCGGACTACACAATTCATAGAAACTGAAAGCATTATGTTGCTGAAATATCATTAATGACAAAGAATAGAAAAGGATATGGAGAAAAGGGTAGGGAAGTGGATTAAATGTATATAGCTCTTTTAAGAGAAGGCAAAATGCTGCAGATGCTGGAAATCTGAAATAAAAACAGAAGTCGCTGGGAACACGGAGTTTCAGGTCGATGACTTTTCATCAGAACCCAGTTTCATCGACCTGAAACTTTATAAAATTCTTCTGTGCTATAAAATTCTATGATTTGAACTGAGAGCTGAATTCAGTACCAAAATGCCTCGATGAAATGGCTTGCTGCTTGCACGCAGGATGATGATCTTTTCAGGATCGCTTGGCTCTGCGCAGTTCGCTTCCAAGAGGATTCCATCTATTTTCGAATATTCTGATTTTCGTTTTTTTTCTTATTTCAGAGACTGACTCCAAGACTGAACAGGCATCAACGGAAGCAGAAATGATTTTTACACCAGATAGTATAGGTAAATTAAAACAGAATTTACGCATGTTATTATCCAACGATAAACGCTGTTTAAAAAAAATGTTTCATAAGTGCAAGTCTAGACTTGCATTTTTCGACTCCATAATAATACGGCATAATATCCCAATATCAGGAATTATTAAGCAGTTTTGTGGAATGTTGGGCTACACCAGGAAGACTTGCAACTTTTGAATGTGATGTATGATTATTGTCGAAGTAATCTTGATGTGCAATTCAGATTTCTGAGAGTTGATCTATAAGTGTATTTAGCGTGATTCAATTCCACAACAACAAAATTACATTTGTATAGCGCCTTTCATGTCGGGAGGATGTCCCAAGGTGCTGGACAGACAGAGTTTCACACCTGATACATTTTACCAGCATTATTTTCATTTAATACCTTCTGGTTTCTTTCAGAATTTCAGATTGATTCTTTTACTAGCCCTGTGAAGAGCTGGACTGTGGCAGGATCTAAATTCACAGGTGATTCACTAAAGTCTTGTTCAGGGTAGCTTCCTGGTGTTGCTCTCAAATGACGGGGAACATCTTACTTAGATTATTACTACCTCACGATCAACACACACATGTAATACGATCCGAAAAAAACTCGCTCCGAACAAACTTAATTAATCAGAAGGAGGTTCTGGTTGAGCATACAGGGATTCAAGTCATTTGCAAATGAATAATGCCTTCATTTATGTGTGTTTGTACAGAGCTGAAGCCCTTAATGCTTGTCCTTCAGGACCAAGATTCTTCTGATGCCACATTTGCTTTTGATAAGGCTTTCGTAAATGTCGAACAATTTGTCCAGATGATGGCGACATTTACTGGAACCGCTTCCTCGAATCAAACTTTAAATAACCTTCTGACCTATATTAAGAAACATTATAAAGAGACTACGGAGGAAAGGCTAGCGAGATTAACTCAGGTAAATTGCTCAGGACTTTCACCTGTCTATGGTATCAGTGTAGCAGATACAGCGATCGCCATAATCATATAATTGATCTGGATCACAAGATCTCACAAGATTAATTCACATAAAGAAGGACCTTTGGCTCATCTGGTCTCATTCCTCCAGAAAGGACCTTATAAAGGTTTACGAAATTTTAAATGGGATTGAAAAATACCCACCCAACTGTTCTCCTATCAAAGCATCAATCTGTGTTTTTATATCTGAGTTCAGTGTCCTCTAACACAGTGGATCATCCTATATACATATACGTTGGTTTATAACCATTCGAATATTTCAATTTTCTTTGTTTCCATCCCCTCTCGCTTTCATTATTGTATCAAAAGTGTTTTTACTCATAAATTATTGTAAATTAGTCACTTCAATCCACGACTGTGGGACGCTGCTGTGTGCAATTGGCTGCTACATTTTGCCTACAAAATATACAGTCAATTCACTTTACAGTATATTTGGTGAAGCGCTTTGAGACATCTCAGTGACGTGATAAGGCGCTGTATCAAATGCAAGGACTATTATTATAACAATTATTAACAACTGTACCTAAAAATAGCCCTTGCATAATAATCTTTGCATTTGATACAGTGCCTTATGTCGTCCAGACGTCTCAAAGCGCTTCACAGAATATACTGTAAAGTTAATTGACTGTATATTTTGTGGGCAAAATACGGCAGCCAATTGCGCACAGCAGTGTCTCCACCAACAGTTGTGGATTGCATTATGATATAGTGCTTATAACCTTGAGATGTCACACTGATTACAGCTACTTTGATCCTTTTTGGCCTCCTGGAAGCCAAGTTTCCTGTAGCATAAACAGTTCAGTTTCAGCAACTGTGGGAAGAGATACAGAAAAGTATACATTCGAGCAAAAATAGGGATCGTGACGTAGCACTTAACACTGTGAAGTCTCTCAACTCAAAGCCAAAGGGGGCCTTGAGAGCTGGAAACTGACTGAGCTTCTAACTGAGATAACATCAATGATTAGTCTCATTGAAACACTGTAGGATGGATTGCAGGTGCAGCCCTTGCGATGAACAGTGGTTCCCCTTGGATGAGTGATTGGGTATTGATATAATCCCCATTACTCAAGGACAGTCTTGCAAAGGGGACCCTTAGAAGGAAATAAATCATTTAGAACAGACACAACTCACTTCAGAGTTCATTAACGTTCACTTCCGGTCTTTGAGAAATCCAGTTACCCAATAAATGTGTCAGGGGCTCCTTGAAAATTCAATCAAACGGCTATCAAGCTCCAGTCCGTCCATTGTATATAGAGCAAACAGCAGGCTCACCAGACTCCTGGTGTCCGGAATTCAGACCAAGCCAGACCGGGCCTGAAACAGAAAAATTAAAAGAAAATCCGCACAAAATGTGCACACGTGTTGATTCCCAGCACGAACCCCCGCCTCACCGTCCTTATCGTCCCTTTGGCTTCAATTTGAATCCCACGAACAGAATATATCTTATCCGCTATCTTCTACTTGCGGATGATTCAAATGATGTACCGCCCACAAAATAGTCATTTCACTTCACAGTATTTCGATACAGCGCCTTATCATGTCTTCTGAACGGCTCAAAGCGCTTCACAGAATATACTGTAAAGTGAATTGACTGTATGCTTTGTGGGTGAAAATTCATTCTCCTCGTTCTATCTCACTCTCGTCTTTCTGTGTGGCAATTTCTATGAAATCCTGTTTTATCCGTTCTATCCTGTTTTGTAGTTTTTCCTTCTGTAGGTTGCACAGTAACCTTCATGATCTCTGCTTGTATTCTCAGGCCAAGAATGACATAAAATCGCACAAGCACCAGGTTGTCCTAAACGCATTGTTTCAGAAATTGGATATCGATGAGTCGGGCTTCATTGATATGCCAGATCTGGTCAACGCCTTGACCAAATATAAGGACGGAATGGAGAAGAATGCCTTAAGGAAAGGTAGGGGGAACTGAACCAACATGCTTTTTTTGTGAGAAACTGAGCTGTTATTGGAATTATTTTACTGCAGCACTAATTTTACTACATACACCCTCTAGAGGAGGCCTAAAGTAGCATTGAAATATTGCAAAGTCCACCAAGGTTCAAATGTCAAATTTTCCCTTATAAGGATTTAGTGAAAAGAATATTTTAGCAATTTTAAGTCCGACTCATTGATTTACTGGTTGAGGAAATAACCTTGGCGCTGTATTTCTCGATTGATCGGGGGAAATACTAATCCAAGGGCAATTTTTTNCCCCCATTGTTGAAGCTTTTATTCAAGATCAATGAATGTACCAACTCCAGCAAAAACTCCCTCGCCGAGGAGAAGAATAAAACAATCCAACATCACTTATTGTTCCCCTCAAGGCAACCCAACCACTGGCATTGGTAAATTTATTCTCTGCCTTCCCTCTCCAACAGTAGATTTATCCAACAAAAGCAACTTGCATTTATATAGCGCTCTTCAAGTGGGGTAGCGTTTCGGGGTGCTTCAATTCTCCCCCCCCTCCCCCCCCGCCAACCCTGGCTCCCCTCCCGCTCCATTGCTCACCATCCCAAAATTGCTGCAGTGGTATTTCATAATGATGGTAGTTTTGCATGAGTTTTGCACACTCTGCGTGCTATATTAAGGCATATTCAACGCTCTCCGTTTCCAATGAACCATAACCGTTAAGAAGGCAGCGGATTCGAAAATGACTTCACTGGACAAAAATTGAGAGCATCCGTTTCTCAATAGGCCGAACGTATTTCCAGCGAAATCATGCATTTTGCAATTAAAAAGAAGCCAGCTGCTGTTTATAGATCAGACCTGGGTTTCCCATGACCCTAGTCCTTCCCTCATGCTTGTATCTTAACAGCTAGCTATTCTTAGAATATAGAGTGCTTGAGTTAATAAGGTCATATTTCAGGGTAAAGGTCTTCTGGTTTCTGTCTACTGAGTAAAATGAATGTGAAAGGATTTAGCATCGAGGAGGTTTTTTATTAGATACAGCTGTTGTATTCCAGTGTGACATGGCTTTGGTCTAATTTTTAACAAGCTGTGTGCTCGAAAGTCATTGTGCTTGTGTCTTGCTCGTTTTTCTTCTCGTCCGCTTCCCCGTTGCTTCCAAAAGTGGCTTAATTTTCTCATCTCAGCACGGAAAGCAGTCGAGGTGTGGGAAGGAGGTGATTAGCAAAGTGCAATACGCTTTGATAAACTTCATCGAGCACATCAAAGCGTTGGCCTGTGGCACTTTCACACCGTAGGGGCGCATTCCAGCACGAAAGCTAAAAAAAAAACGAGATAGGAGACTTTCTGTAAGTTGCTCGCATGGCCTTTGTGGTTTTGACTCTATTCAGTGCTGTTAGCAGGGGTCTGTCTGGCACAATTCCATATGCTGCATATGGGAATGGGGGTGGGAGGGAGGGAAGGAGGGGGTGTGAGGGGAGGCCAAGGAATGAACGATAACAATTCCTCAAAGACGGTCAGCCCAGATTATCTAAAAGGAATTTCAAACAGTTGCAAAATAAATTAGTGATCGAAGATGAGTTTCCCCTTTCCCTTCTTCCACCTCTCATCTTAAGAAATATGACTGGAGGATTTGTTTGAGGGAGGCATTCAGGGCTGTGCGTTCAGGCTTGCAGCACTTGGTCTCTGCTCAGGGTTGACCTGTGGGCGCCAAAGACTGGGAATATCCAGCTCTCTGTGCTGAGGATTATGTGTTCCAGGGAATACTGGGAATGGACTGTGCTGTGTGCTGGATACCTCCATGGTTTTTGTCGCACAACTTGTTTAAAAGTAGGCACAAGAGATTACAGAGACCGAGGCTCAAATAGGAAACAGTTCCTCTTTTCCACAAGTTCCAAAGGTCAATCAACACTCAATTGCCTAATTTCACGAATCCTAACGGCGACCGCATAAAAAAACAAATGTGGGCAACTTGAGTCAATTCTGCTGCCGCCGTAATGATCTTTTCAATAGAGATGGTAAGGTCCCGATGCTGAGCTGATTTAAGGTTTCAGAGGCTGCCCGCTTTTTATGAACTTAGAAACTCGAGCAGAACCTCCAGCTCCTCAAGCTCAATCCATCACGTTTTTGTACAGTTTTCATCCAATTCAACTTGCAAAGTGCACAAAAGGCACAGGGATGAACTCTGATTTTATCAGCGTCATTCAGCTCGAGGGAAGGAAAGACCAAGGTACACCTGGAGCAGAGCCCATGAATTGTTCCACAAGGCAGTAAAATAGATGATTGAAAAGGGAACAGTGCTAAAAGGCATGAGGGAGCGTGCGCGGGAGAATGGGATTAGTTCGGAGAAATTTACCAACACAAATTCGACGGACAAAAGGCCTGGATACCGTGCTGTACGCAGCAGGTATTAGTACAACTTTAGGGTCACACGAGATGCAGTTCAATAGTGACTATGTTAAAAGCAAACCTTTTAACATATTTGGTATGACAGTGTCCTCTGGTGGCCAATACTGTACCACCACCGCACAATGAAACCATTTCAGCTATTGTCCAATTTAAATGCAGTCAAATATTATGTAACCTGGATATAAATAGATTACAATCTGTGATCAGAAGCCCTAAATTCTTTGGTCTTACCCTTAAGACCATTGCCATGAAATTTCAGTGCGTCAGCCTGGCTCGGTTGGTAGAGTTTTCCCCGCTCCGAGTCAGAAAGTTGTGGGTGCAAACCCCATGTTAGGGACTTTGAGCTCACAGGCGAGGCTGCACTCAAGTGCAATGTTGGGAGAACTCTGCATTTTACTAGGTGCTGTCCTTCGGATGAATATAAACTGAGATCTCCTCTACCTGTTCAGGTAGATTTTAAAGATCCTTTAGTAGGATTGAAAAGCAAAGGGAGTTTCTTCCAGTGCCCTGGAAAATAACCACCCAGATAAAATTAGTCATCCACTTCCTGACTGTCCGTGCACAAATTGACTTGATGCCCAGTCACTATGCTTTACAATAAAAGTTGTAAAATGCTTTGACACACTTGTGATTCTCCCAACCTGAAAGACACTGTATCAAACGGAAGGGTTATTATCATCATTATTATTATTATGACTCTCTGGTCAAATTCTTGGCTTTAAACAATTCGATTTAAGTAATTCAATTCTGATGACAGCAATTTTCAGAAAAAGAACCGAGGTGAAATGAAATGTAAAATTAAATAAAATTACATTTCCTTTCATTTTCAAAAAATTGTTTGGAACATGAAGTGGAGAGAAATAGAGCTACGTGTAATACTTTATTTTGTTGTGCGACCCTATTTTAACAGCTCACATCAGACTGAAAATGAACCAGAAATGCCGGAGTGGGGAAACTGTTTTGACCAAAATAGAGTTCAAGTCGTACATCGAAGCCATCGTTGCTGAAATCGCTGATGATGAAGAGGTTTTTGACAGTATTGTGCAATTTCTATCAACCAGCCTTTCACAAACGTGCGAGGAGGAGGTACGAGCTGCAGCCAGGAGAAAATGGTTATACACTATCGAAGAAGCAGCACGTGTTGGAGGTATCAGCATGGGTCCTGTTTATAAAGCTGTTTTCGAGAGCCTTTATAAGGTAGGATGCTTTACAGTGTTAGCCTGTGTCTAAGACTATCTGGAATTTAGGTAAACAGGGTGCACCAAGGGCCCAGACTCCTCTCTGCTGTTACTGGCGATCACAAATTATACAGTCATTTCACTTTACCATATATCCTGTGAAGCGCTTTGAGGTGCGATAAGGCGCTATATCAAATGCAAGGATTATTATTATTATTATTATTAGAAATTCCATTCCGTAAGGAAACAATGGCGTTATAATTTACTTTGAAATATTTCCCTTCCTCGAATTCTGGTCCAAATCTAGCTGAAAAGCCTTCGTGCCCTATCTTGAACGCTATTTTAACACAGCATCATTTTCAGATAGTGAAACACCTTTCCCAGATTATTCAGTCTAGCCTTGGGCATTATTATTCCCAGAAATAAGCACAGAGTTGTTCCCTACCCTGCTCGCAAACTGCAGTCCGGGCCCGACTGGAATCTTCAGGCCCAGCTGTACTAAAGAGTTCCCTGTCAACGTCAGTTCGAGCTTAATGCAGACTTTATCTCTGTAACAGGATGCAGAAGGCCATGGTGAAAATAAGAAAATCAGTGCTTCAATAGCCTTGCTAAAGAATAACCATCACAAACCCTCAAAGGGTGACACTTTCTTGCATTACGTCGCCTGTACCTTGGATGATGCAAACTATGTCCTGAACCAGGGACTCTATAGAACCGACCGAGCTGTGAGGTGAGAGAGAGACTCTATTTACTGCAAACGCAATTGCTTTCAGTGCTTTGGGGCTAAATCTTCCTCTTGCATAAGGGAGACCCTCATTACAAAGCAGCAGCTCCAAACTCCTCTGAGCTGACACCAAGCTTCTTCTTATTTCCATTTGCTCCTTCATCTTCCGGAGAAATTCCGTTTGGGTCAAGACAGTAACTTTTGTTTTCTTAGCAATTCAGAGCGTGAAAATCCGGTCTTAATTTTCTCTCTTAAAACGATTCAAGTAAACTCTTGGCTTTTTTTTCTTGCTTTTTGAAACCCAGCTTTCACGCAATTGACGAAGGGAGGACAATCTATGTTCCCCGGATTCAGGATCATGGCCACGTCCACATATGGAACTGTAAACGGGAAAATGTACAAGGTGCATTGCTTGTGGTCCCAATAAAAGATTGGAACAGGAGGGTGTTTGGAGTCATGGGTGTTGACACAATTAGAGACCCGTGTAAGGATAAGGGCTTCACGAAACATGAGATCAACTTTTACCAGGTGAGGTTGAGGTCTGGTTCCTGTTTGGAACGTTCAGCATTTAATAGTTATTACACAAGATGTGTTATGAAATGAAATGCTGGTAATTTCATACAGTTTGAGAATTAAGGCCACCCTCCACCCCACCAATCCCCCCCCCCCCACCCCACTCCCCTCCCACATACCCCCTCCCCACCCCTCGCCTTCTTTCAGATTGTTGCTTCCGTGGCATTGTCCCATCTGTCATTAGTCAAGCGCTATCCTGCGTGAGAGGCGCTATATAAATGCAAGTTGTTGTTATTGTTGTAGTAAATTGGTCCCTTAATCCACGACAGTTTATGGGGACGCTGCTATGCGCTGCCACGTTTCGCCCACAAAATATACAGTCAATTCACTTTACAGTATATTCTGTGAAGCACTTTGATGTCTCAATGGCATGATAAGTCTTTAGACCAAATGCAAGTGATTATTATTATTATCTGCCACCTGGAGGCAAGATTTAAGTCCAGCAATTTAGTCAAATTGCTCTTGTACTGCCTTTCCGATCCTGGTATTTGGTATAACGGCAGCGACAGCATTTTAACATGGGGCTGTAACATTGTACTGAGCGTAGCGTACGGAGCACACAGGGGTATAATGTTCGATGATAAAAATTCAGATGCACTTTTCAATTTATTCTTTAGGGCATCACCAGAACCCTTAGTATTGCCTACCATTACGTGCAAACCCAGAGGAGCATTCTGCAAGTTTTGGAAACTGCTTTCATCTGGATCCATAAAAGGTCAACCACCATCGAATCTCTCACTCTGTACTTCGTTGACTCTATTGGTCCTAAGGTACTCCCTTCAACAAACCTTTTCTCAGTGTATTAGTAAACTCCATGTCTGCTAAATTGAGGAAGATTGATCAAGGATGAAATAAGTGGCAATCCAATGCCCCTCCACCCCCCCCACACACACACACACATCTGTTTAAGACCCATACAAGGGACCTAAATTTGAGTGTTATTCAAGGGAGCAATTAGAAGCTACAGAACCTCACTGAAGGCAGGTCTGGTACAGTACTCCACTGCTGGAGCTCCTAAGCTGCTGATTGAGTTCCATTCTTATGCTTTAGGGGGAAAAATCGTGATCCTTAAAACTCTGGTTCCAATGACCGAGGGAGCTAGCTAGCGTAGTGCAATCGTCAGCCAGGTTCCTCTCAGCTAACCTCTCTCCTTCCATGCCCAAAGGATTTTATATTGCAGAAGAAGATGACAGCAGATAATATCAAAGGAGACATAGAGGTGCACAGCCCTCCAATTACGCTACATAGGAAGAACAATCCATTCAGGTTTGTAACTTAGTAATGTTCTGCTCGGTTTTACATGACCAAAGTATGGATGGTTTAAACAAGATGAAAGGGAGTTCTTTTGGACAGGTCCAAATTCCAAAGGGTTAATCTTTAGCCATTCCCTAGGCTCTGAGTGAGGAAAAAATCGACAAAGGGAAAGAGTTCTCCTATCTGTGGTTGGAAATTCACTCTGTTGGCTGCTTCAGTGTGTGGGTTGGGAGTCGGGCTTGAAAGTCCCAGTGGCATGGTTGGTATCTAATAGAAACATAGAAACAGGAGGAGGCCATTCAGTCCCTCGAGCCTGTTCTGCCATTCTATAAGATCATGGCTGATCTGTACTCAAGTCTAATTACCTATCCTTGCCATGTATCCCTTAATACCCTGACCTGACAAATAGCTATCCACTTCAATCTTGAAGATGTGAATGGATCCAGCATCCACAGGCTTTTTGGGGAGAGAGTTCCAGATTTCCTGTGAAATAAGTAGAGAGCTCTATAAGTAACAATTATTTGTGGCTGAATATCGAATGCTTTACCAATAGCTGGTTAAGTTGAGTTCATAACATCGTTTAGAAGGGAATCGCCACTGGTAATAATTCTCACAAGGCCGAATCCTTGCATTGGCACTTGAACTGGGTTTCTCAAACGTCAATCTAAGCTGGACAACATGGTGAAATAACAATACGAAAGCTTTTAGTCATACAGATATGATGATAAAGTGAAGTCAATGAAACAGATGATAAAAGATATCTTGCATAAAGACAACAATTTAACCTGGATGTTTGGTGTATGTCCTAAGTGCTGTCCCTTTTCCTATCTTTCAGAGAATACCTCTTTAAATGTGCGGAGGTTTCTGAGACGATTATAACCGTGGTGAAAGAAGACATGCTCATCATTGTGCCTATACGGACCTTAAAAGGGAAAGCTTTTGCTATCATTGTTATTAACCTTGGAAGCCATCGAGAGATGACGGATCTTGAATACAGGAACATGTTAAAAATGTTGGAAATACTTCAGGCAGCTACGATGGAGATATTGAAGGAGCTTGTTGATCCAAAAGCAACAGTCTTAGTTTTAGGTGTAGTACATTGATTCCTACTCAGCAACAACAACTTGCACCCTTCACGCAGGGAAGAGTCCCAGAGTATTCCTAACTGAGGCTATCTCCGGCTCATATTTGAAACATCTCACAAAATGATAGAAATATGAATTAGTTGCCATAAACATGGCTGCAAAAAGTACAGAGTCATTACACTTTCCAGTGTATCCTGGGAAGCACTTTGAGACATCCTCCTGACATAAAGGGCAATATATAAAAATATAGGATTTTTAAAAAAATATATTTTAATTCCTATTTACATACTGCATTATTTTGTGGTTTATACTTGTTACATTGAATAAATTGGTTGTTAGGACATGGAATATCCTACCTGGAACCATGGTTGAAGCATAATTTGTTTTAGCTTTTAGGAGGGAATTAGATAAATGTTGGGAACACGTCAACAACGTTCCTTCTAATTCATAATTGTTTTTTTTAAAAAATATATTTGTTGTTTTTCGTTTTCAGAGGCTGAACAAAAACACAAACCAAACCGAATACGGATTCTGTTTGAACGTTGCATGCTACAGGACCTGAGAGAAAGCATCCAACAGCTCGATCCACAATTACTTGAAAAGTTCAAGAATTACGCCAGACCTCCGCCAGCGAACCAGAAGATCATCACCGCAATCTTGCTTCTCATTGAACCCAAATGGAAAGTTAAATTCAGCTGGGAAAAATGCAAAGCGGTAAAGAAAAAAAAACATCCGAAATTCTTCATATATGCCAGCCACACAAGGGAATTTGGAGTTTGGAGACTCTTAAGCATGGTCAAACACTCAACTGGCCAAAAGAAAAATCATGCAAGGGACACCAGGGCCTGGGGGACTAAACTTATATATTATATATATATAAAAATCATCACTCACTCAATCTATGACCATTTGTGGGACACTGCTGTGCGCAATTGTCTGCCACATTTCGCCAACAAAATGTGAATCCATTTTACAATGTATAATAATAATAATCTTTGCATTTGATATAGCGCTTTATCATGTCTTCGAGCCATCTCAAAGCGCTTCACAGAAAGTGGATTGCCTGTATATTATTATCATGTATTATTAAATAAATATTAAATATTGAATGAACTAAACAGCGCCAACACTGCACCCAGTTACAGTGCTCAACATACAATGTTGAGATGAGATTATATCGTACATTCAAATTCATCCCAAACGTTCAACACCAGATGCTTTATTCAACTTTTCTAACATGTTAAGAAAAGGTAGATTCAGTTTGGATTTGTAGTACTGATTAGCTGATTAATATATGACAATATCTCAAGTACTGTCTTTTCTCTTTGGGGACATGCAGCACTTCTGATTAAATGCTAATGAAAGCTTTCCTCTCCTTGCAGAAAATGGGCAGTGGATTTATTGAGAAGATTATCAAATTTGACCCCACTGCATCTGATGTTTCAATTGACCATTTTGTTGTGGGAGAACAGATACAAAGTAAGGCTTTATGAGATCTACTAATTCTCCTGATCCCTGAGTAGGTTAAGACACTGCTATAGCACATGTTCATTCGGCTACAAGTCAGTGCTGAGTTAGTCGGTCTCAGCCACGATGAGATAGCAGCTTGTAATTTGCTCTATTGAGCAAACAGATTATCAATGTTTGCCCTATAAATAATTATTTGGGGAGTACAAGTTTGCAGGGCTATGGGGAGAGAGTGAGGGAGTGGGATCGATTTGGATAGTTCTTCTCAAAGAACCAGCACAGACATGATGGGCCGAATGGCCTCCCTCCGTCTGTGCTGTATGATTCTATGAAATGGACCCTCACTAAACTGGGACACCTTATAATACTCGATTTGTACTCGATTTGGGATATTTGAAGATGTTACTGCAATGACAAAATTAGACACTTCGACACAGAAAGTAAGAGAGGGCGCAATCTGTCAGGGTTCCCACTCCTGCTTGTGTGCAGCGATACATGCGGGAAGGTTTGCTCTGAATTGAAAAGGATAGAAATGAATAATAATAATCCTTGCATTTGATATAGCTTCACAAAGTTTCTACAGAGTGTAGTTACTGGTTATTTGTAGGTGACCACATGTAGGTAAGGTTACAAATGCTTTCCTGCTGCTCATCTCACGCTGCTGTTAATTTTCCCTGTTTTCTAGATGTCTCGTATTTAGATGCGTGGAAGGAGGGTTCAGTTGTAGCCCATTATCTGTACAACTGGATTTCCGTCTGTCTGTCACTGATGGAAAAGAAACTGAAACTGAGAGATTGGTACAAACCCCCCTCAGTTTGCCAGCTGCCTCCAATAAAGGGAGGGCATTATTAACCCTTTGCGGCCCAGATGAAGCTTTGCAATACCTTTGAAAGTTGCCAAACATTGTGAAGCAGCTACCTTCTGTGTTTCTGTTTAATGAAACTTGTAAGTACTCATTAGCACAGTGGCATGTCCATTTCTGGGGTATATGTGTATATGTCTCATTAGCACTGATAAAGGTCAAAAAAGGCTCAAATAGCAAGTGTTGGGAGATATTTGCTGAAGCGTCGGATTTCGATGAAATTTGTATTTGCTTTTAGGGGCATTTAGAGCAACTGGGATCATCATTAGATCTAAAAAAATCATGGAGTGAGGGAGGGGGACGCTCATCATCCCCAGGAATAAGAAAAGGCCATTTGACCCACTCTACAACCATGGACCATTCAAAAGCTATTGTGGTCTATATCTCTGGGGTGGGGGGGGGGGGGGGGGGGGGGGAGGTGGTGTGTAGAGGAAGTTCTGAATAGTTTTTCTGAAGGTGTGTGGAGGATGATCTGATTCACTGAAGAAAGACCCTACAGATAAGTAATCCAGTTGCTCTTCAGTTCTTTTCACGCAGTGCACATTGCCTCGGTGTTATACTCCTGCTCCGATCATACTCTTTCAAAGCGGCTGAATTAAAAGGTGAAAATATGTCACAAAGTTTGGCAGGTTCAATGCCACAACCCGAAATGAACAACGCAAAGTTACATCTCAAAAACATTCGACTTATGAAACAGAGTGAAATAACCTGAGATAACACAATATTTGGAGTATTTTCAGTAGTTTGGGGAATTCTACGATGTGATAAGTCTCTATATCAAATGCAAGGATTATTATTTTTATTATTATTAATGAGCTGGAGAGAAAAGAGCAACAAGGATGATTCCGAGACTTTCGTTTTTTTAAGTCCTGAAGAGACACTCCCATCACTGAGCTAGTTTTCATAATGGAGAAGAAAATTAAGGGAGAGGCACAGACGATATTGAGAGGCATAGGTGATGTTGATACTAGCAGAGCTTTTGTCTTGGAATATGAGAGCAGACGAGAGAACACAGGTAGAGAATTAACAAGGATTAAGTGACACAAATTTTTTTTTAACCTCATAAAACAGTGAATAAGTGGAAAGAGTTGTTTCATCTCCAATCTTTGATGAAGAAGCTGAACTATGAGAACATTTCTTTGTACTTTCCCAGGACTGTTTTGAATGCCCAACACTGTAATAACATGGCTTCTGAAATTCTACAGGACCTAGGGTTATTAATGCTTATATGGATTTGTTTGTCCTGGATTGATTGACAGCCTATTTTCATTGAATGATTTCCACATTGAAAAGCAGCCTTGAAAGAACATCTAATCGCTCGTCATTTGTCATGAACTTTCTTCAATAAGCTGGATGATAAGTGTTATATGAGCTGAAATGTTTATGCCCCTTCAACAGCTTGATATGTTTTGGCACAAATGTCAGCTGAGTTATTAAAATTTGAAATCAGAAGTGCAGATAATATCGGATGGCAGATTTTAATAATCCAACAGCGAAGGTGTTTTTTATGATGTTAAATGTGTGACTGTAATGGCAAAGAGCTGTTCAAAACGAGCGTATCAAGGGCTTACAAAAGTTTCTTACAGCAAGTTTTCAAATGGCAGCAGAATATTGCCTTTGGAAACCATACTCTGGGAGTGTTTTTTGTATTAAATAATTACGTCAATATATTTGAAACCAGGTTAGATAGTGGGCGATTCCTGGCAATGATGAGACATGCCAAGGACAACAAGTTGCATTTATACAGCACCCTTCACATAGGATGTAAATCTTTTCAGGAATGTACAAAACCTGTTTATAAATGTCAGCAGTTGCTGAAAGGGAAAAATGGCAATAGGAAGCACAGAAATCTGTGGCAATTATACTTTAAAATAATAATAATTCTTACATTTAATACGGCTGCTTTCGTTGAGAAGACGTCTCCAAACATTTTACTGGAAGGTGCAGTGACTGTTTTTAAAAGCCCTTCTCTATATTCTTTGAATTCCATGTTCTTCCTTATCCCTCCATTGCCTCCTTCAAGGTCCATCCACCCTCCTCTTCGACCACGCCTTTGGTCACCCTGCCCTCCACCCCTCCTGATCCCAACCCCCAGCTCCTTGGAACGTCCTCCCAATGTGAAAGGCGCTATACAAATGTAATTTGTTGTTGTTCCGTGCATCTGCTTTTTGCTGAGGTTCAACGAATCTCTGAACAGAATTGTTTTAAACTCCAGTCATTGCAAAGCTAGTCCTATGTCTTCCAACATTTCTACTTGGCAACCCTGAGCAAACCCTGAATGTCTTAAAAATCACGTTTCAAACTGTGAAAGGTTTGTGGCGAGTGAGTTGCAATCACCGTGGAGACTAACGATCCAAATCTTTCTTCGAAGAAGAAAACAAACTTAAAAAGTGTAGCGTACAAATTCCCTTCTGGTACCAGTAAACTGTGGGAGGTTTTCTGCTTCATAAAAGGTTGATAGATTATGCTTTGCTTGATGTGAATGTTGTGATTGACAATAATAATGGGTCTGGCTTGTCAGTTTGTTTTATCTTTGTAATACTTTTTTTTAATAAACTGTGCCAACATCTTATTTTTGCTTTTCCTCACATCTGTAGTGTTTTGTCTTATCTATTAAAATGTTTGCTTTTAGTACATCCTTCACAATTTTAGAGATAAAATATATTGCCCTCAAAACTGAAATTGCAGCCGTTTTCATTATAAACACTGTCTCTCCCTCCTCTCCCCCTCCTCCTTTGCCTTATCTTGTGACATCCAGATGATATATAGTTATTGCTTACAATGCTCGTATCGTAGCCTTAGCTACCATTATTAGTGTTGGATCACTACCACAAAAGAGAAGTACAGTACTGTCATACACAGTAATAAATTAACCAGGTCAGTACCGTATATTGGTTAAACAATATGTAAACTTAAAGCCTTTATATTGCACTTCAATTCACTGGTATTTGAGCATCATTGTGAATTTGTCTAAGCACTCTGAGATGCTGTCCGGCATAATAATAATAAAAATAATAATCGTTGCATTTGATATAGCGCTTTTCACGTCTTCTGGACATCTCAAAGCGCTTAACAGAATAGACTGTAAAGTGAATTGACCGTATATTTGTGGGCGAAACGCGGCAGACAATTGCGCACAGCAGTGCCCCACAAACAGTCGTGGATTGAAAATGACCAATTTATTATTGTTTTGGGTTTTGGAGGGATCATTATTCGGCTCTGTGTGGAGTAAGGAAACTTGCCCAAGGTTTCGCCCTCTGCCTGGAATTGAGCCCAGGTGTCTCGCTTGCAAGGCGAGTGCTCTAACCACTGAGCTACAGGACTCCACAAGGGCATGAAGGGCATTCTATAAATGCAAGTTGATTTTGTTGTTGTTGTTGTCTGTTGGGTCTGAAAAGTGTTCAGTGGGCAATTAGTAAACCAACTTGGCACCATAGACGTGATCAAACCAGCAGAATAAAAGTAGAAGAAAAGCTGATGGTATCATGAGATGTCACTGGGATAATAAATACCATATCCTATAAGAGCATTTATTAGTTGTGGGATTCCGAATGGAGTCCTGGGTTCAGAATCCTACCTCTAACTATGATTTAGTAAAATCCAACAGAATCATCATTTCATGGCCACTACAATGTTCTCCCCAGCGTTCAATTAATATCATGTGATAATTAAGTGTTTGGGAAGTTTTAACAGATGATAATCATTTGCTGGAGCAAAATTGTGTACCTAGTGCATTGTTTCAATACTTTCCTTCTTGTATCTTCACTTATGAGTAAACTGGACAAAACTCACAGGAAAACAGCCAAACCTCTATGGAAAATTACACAGGAAAAGCTGTATAATACACTTCAGGCAATTCTGATTAATGTCCATCAATTACCGAATTTCACTTAGTTAACGGAATTCTAATGACAGTACTGGAGAAAATCTTTAAGAGCCTAAGGATTTGATGGGCAAAGAAGACCAAGGTCCATCCATTTTGCCTTCCACTATCCTGGCAGTCGCATGCACATGCTGTGTCCCAAATTATTCACTGTATTCCGAGATGCTATTTTCTAAAAGAAATCTAAATCATTTGTTCTTGAAAGAATCGACACTTTCTGCCTCCACCGTCTCCCAAGGGAGCCCGTTCCACACATTTCCCACTCGCTCACTGAAGTAGTGTTTCCGCAGATTTGTTCTGAATTTACCCCGAGTTCAACTTATCCTGTTCTGATGATGATGATGATGCTTTGCTTCATTAATGTATCGCGTTCATTCCACAGCTGTGTTCTATTTTAGGGGCTCCCGAAATGTTGCCAGAAAAGTGCCTATTTATTTATCTCCAGTAATAACCCTTGTGGTTTGAAAAGCAATAGTTTGCTGATTGGAAGGGTGGTCCTGATGGCAATTCGTCAAGAGCTGATTTCATTGCTCTGTGTCAAGTGGTAATTCTGGCAGAATGCCATAATCTTTGATGGTCGGCAATTAAACTGGATTGCCTTGGTCATCAGCATCTCCAGTCTTCGGATCTTATTGTTGCAGCACAAGATCCGAAGTTCACAAAAAGCGGTTTATAACCTTATGTTGTGAACAGGACATCCAAACCCCATCAATCTAGCCTTACGCAGTCACTACACTTTACAGTAAAGTATATCCTGTGAAGCACTTTGAGATGCCTCAACGAATTGATAAGGCGTTATATCAAATGCAGGGATTATTATTATTATTATCTAGATGCAGTGATAAGTCAAATAATAATGTGAAAAACAGTGCAATAAAGCATTGTGCTCCACTATGGCACAGCGGCTTAATCTTTACTAAAAGAAAATTTATTCAGCGCAATTAGTCTCTGTTGAATCACATATATATTGCAATGAGCCCATATTACAATACTCTTAATGAGATTTGTTGACCATTGTTCATAATCCTAGATATTCAGGAGGATTGCAATGAGGGTTAAATTGACATACAGTTGAAGATGAAATGAACAGTCAATTAAATAAGGCCTGAATAAAATATTTTGTCATGAATTTCTACTGGTTTATTGTCATATTGGCAATTATCTCAGAGCTGTGCTTCAGATCTCCCTTACTATCTCTGGCAGTGTCTAATATATCTATAAACATAGGCAGCCCAAACTATTTTAACCGGTAAGATCAGAAAGGTGCCAACAGCCAGCTCTGAAACAGGAAGGAAAACAATCCATTTGTATTGACCCTGGTGCAAAGCCGGAGTTAACAAACCTTCCTCTTCCTTGCTGTGCACAATTGGCTGCTGTGTTTCGCTCGGAAAAATATACAGTCTACAATATATTCTGTGAAGCCCTTTCAGATATCTTAACAAGGTGATTAGGCACTATATCAAATGCAGGGATTATTATATTTGATAAAATGCCTTATCGTACCATTGAAATATCTCAAAGGGCTTAACAGGATTTACTGTGAAGTGTAGTGACTGTGTTTGTATCAGTGTGATTGCAGCAGGATGAATGCAATACTGTATCTGCTTGAGAACCAGGCATCGAAATGTTTCCTGATCCAATAACCCAGCAAATCGTGGGATTCCCTGCAGTGGCAATATTTCATCCTAACATTATTGTTGGATGCTTTTTGTAGTGAGAATTGATAATATTTTCATAGAAAGATAACTTCATAAAGCAAGTAATGGTTCATCGCAGAAAATAAATAAAAGCTGGCCATTCCAATTAGAAGTCAAAACAACAATAATAATAATCCTTGCATTTGATATGGCACCTTATCATGTCGTTGAGATGTCTCAAAGCACTTCTCAGAAGGTACTGTACAGTGTAGTGACTATATTTTGTGGGTGAAATGCGGCAGCCAATTGCACACAGCAGTGTCCCACAAACGTGGATTGAGTGACCAAATTATTATTATTATGAAGTATTTATTCAATCACTTAAACAATGGATTTCATAGGAGACAATTCAGACCACTTTCGACGACCAACACTCACTGGAGACTGTGTTTCACAAATGGTTTCCGAGCAAGTTTGACATCTGTTGTGTAAACAACTGACTTTAAATGTGGGTCATCAATTTGTATTTCTTCCTGTCCCTCACAAAAAAACATCTGGCTCTCTAAAGTTTAAAAATTGTCAGCACCCATCTGAAACATTTCAGCTGCGGGACAACCGCAAACAGCCCAGATTTGGCAAAAAGGAACATGAGTAATAGCTTGAATGATTTAAAATAAGGGAATTCATTAGTATCATGTTTCTATTACATGACCACAGACCTTGATCTGAGCGGTTTATGCTCCTTTGCTTATCTCCTCTAAATGTCTTGTACCGCAGAGATTAAGCATAAATAGAGCGATCTTTGAAATGCAACTGGAGCTCCGCAGGAATGAACTTTGTGTTTCATTTATCATTCCCTTGGTTTAAAGTTTTCTCGGGGCCTTCTGTCTGTCTGTCTGTCTGTCTGTCTGTCTGAGACGGACGCTGAGTATTAAAAGTAGGGAAAATATCAGAAGAGTGAAAACTAAGCATTATATAATTTATCACATCTGTCATAAGAAACTGACTTTAAATGTGTTGGGTCATCAATTTCTATTTCCTCGATAATACAATAGTAATAATAATAAAATAATAATAATTAGATGTGATAAAGCGCAAAATCAAATGCAAAGATTATTATTATTATTTAATGTCAACTTTCATTCATTTTCCCCTCCCTGCGATCCCCTCCCTCTTAACTCCCAAATCTAGCTCGGGTGCCCCTCCAGCACAGTAAAGCTTTGAGACGTCCTCGTGACATGAAAGGCGCTGTTTAAATATAAATTGGATTTTAAACAAAAACTCAGCTCAGGCCAGTGACAATTTAACAAATGGTCAAACCAATCCAATATCCAGTTCTACTACCATCAGTAAACCACACCAGCACCATATAAATTCACAAGGAAGAATTCGACATATAATCTAGAAAGATTAACAGCAAGGTTTTACAGCAGCAACAATTAATTTACATTGATATAGTGCCTTTCACATCAGGAGACAAATAGAGACAAGTGTTTCGCCGACAAAATACACAGTCAATCCACTTTACAATATATTCTGTGAAGTTCTTCGAGACATCTCAACGATGTGATAAGGCACTGTATCAAATTCAAGGATTATTATTAAGCGAGAAAAACAAGAAAAAAGGGCATAAGACCTAACTCAAACAGGTTTATTGGCACCCACCGATCGGCACAACTCTAGGGAATAAAATTGGTCACTCCCTTCATGTCTGTTTGTGGGATGTTGCTGAGCCCAAATTGGCTGCTGCGTCCAACTACAAAACACACCGTGAAGCGAAGAGGAGGGAGAAGGCGTTACACCAAATAATCCGCGCATTCAAAGCAGCTCCTTATCCCGTCGAAGAGACGTCTCGAAGGGTTTCGCGCATAAATACCGGCCAGTGAAACGGACCGTATATTATTCTGCGGGCGAAACGCGAGGAATATTTACACCATCTGCGAAAGTAAACGAAGGTTTTTTTTTTTGCGCGTCCGTCCATCCGTCCGTCCGCCCGAATAACTCAAACACTTTTCACGAACGTCATAAAACTATGACACGCGACAGGAAATCTGCGCGTGAGTGTGTGTGTTTTTTTGTTGTGGGCTCTAGGTCACCCGAGGGGAATCCCAGCTTGTGATTAATGATCGGTTTCGCTGCTCGAGAATTATGAGGCAACGAACTTATTATTATTATTATTATTATTATTATTATTATCCGGCATCCTGCGAAGCGCTTCGAGGCGTTTGGCGAAGACGCGAAGAGCCGCTGTGTCGAATGAAGGATTATTATTAATTATTTATGATTATGATTGTGATGATTATGATTATGATTATGATGATGACTTCACACCAAGGATGAGGCGCGAAACTTAACCCCTCCAATGGAGCGCCAGGTTTACCTTAACTAAAAAAAATTCTAATAGATTATTTCCGTGGCTTTCAGGGGGAGACGGGGTCAGAATCGCGCCCCCGGAGCAGGACGAGAGGGCCTGGATTTTTTTGGGGGGGGTTGGGGCGGGGGCCGCGGGGGCCGCCGAGCGGCCGGTGCCGCTGTTCGCTGTTTCGGTGCAGTCGGGAACAGAGGCGAATGTGCGGCGGCGGGAAGTGAAATAGACGTGAAGATGGCGGCGCCTGTGAGACAGTAAGTGGCGGATACACAGAGACAGAGACACAGAGAGAGAGAGGGACAGAGACACAGAGAGAGGGACAGAGACACAGAGAGAGAGAGGGACAGAGACACAGAGAGAGAGAGGGACAGAGACACAGAGAGAGGGACAGAGACACAGAGAGAGGGACAGAGACACAGAGAGAGGGACAGAGACACAGAGAGAGGGACAGAGACACAGAGAGAGGGACAGAGACACAGGGACAGAGAGAGAGAGAGGGACAGAGGGACAGAGAGAGAGGGACAAAGACGCAGAGGGACAGAGAGAGAGAGAGAGAGAGAAGGACAGAGACACAGAGGGACAGAGAGGGGGAGAGGGACAGAGAGAGGGAGAGGGACAGAGACACAGAGGGACAGAGAGAGAGAGAGAGGGACAGAGAGAGAGAGAGGGACAGAGACACAGAGGGACAGAGAGGGGGAGAGGGACAGAGAGAGAGAGAGGGACAGAGACACAGAGGGATAGAGAGAGAGAGAGAGACAGAGTGAGTGAGAGAGGGACAGAGAGAGAGAGAGGGACAGAGAGAGAGGGAGAGGGACAGAGAGAGGGAGAGGGACAGAGAGAGAGAGAGGGATAGAGAGAGGGACAGGGAGAGGGACAGAGAGGGACAGAGTGAGAGAGAGAGAGAGGGATAGAGACAGAGAGACAGAGAGAGAGGGACAGAGAGAGGGACAGAGACACAGAGGGACAGAGAGAGAGGGACAGAGAGAGAGAGACGGGGACAGAGACACAGAGAGAGAGAGAGAGACACACACACACAGAGACAGAGAGAGAGACACAGAGAGACAGAGAGAGAGAGACAGGGACCGACAGAGAGAGAGAGAGACAGGGACAGACAGAGAGACACAGAGAGACAGACGGAGAGAGACACACAGAGAGACAGGAGACACACAGAGACAGAGAGAGAGACAGGGACAGAGACACACAGAGAGACAGAGTGAGAGAGAGACACAGAGACAGACACATAGAGAGACGGAGAGAGAGAGAGAGACACACACACACACAGACACACAGAGAGAGACAGGGAAGCAGAGACACAGACAGAGAGACGGACACAGAGAGAGAGACACGCGGACAGAGAGAGAGACACAGACAGAGAGAGAGAGACACACAGACAGAGAGAGACACACATAGACAGAGAGAGACACACACAGACAGAGAGAGAGACACAGACAGAGTTAGAGACACAGATACAGCGAGAGAGAGACACAGATACAGCGAGAGACAGACAGACAGAGACAGGCAGGCAGAGACTGACAGACAGACAGAGACTGACAGACAGACAGAGACTGACAGACAGACAGAAGCAGATAGAGATACAGAGAGAGAGATACAGACAGAGACAGATAGAGACACAGAGAGAGAGACATAGAGAAGCACGCGCAGAGACAGCTAGAAAGAGACACACAGAGAGAGAACACACAAATAAACTCGGAGAGAGACAGGCAGGGATGCATATGGGGGAGGGGAAACAGATAGAGACACCTCCACAGATACATACAGAGAGAGAGAGACACACACACAAACATACAGAAAGATAAACACACACACAGACAGGAAGAGACACAGAGAGGGAGACACACATACACACACAACACACAGACATACAGAAAGATAAACACACACACAGACAGGAAGAGACACAGAGAGAGACACACATACAGAGACACACATACAGAGAGACATAGACACATACAAACTCAGAGAGACATACACACACCGACATACATATTGAGAGAGACACATATACACGCACACAGACTCTGAGAGAGAGAGTGCGTGAGAGAGACACACACACAGATACACACAGAGAGGAAGAGATACAGGTAAACACACAGACTCTGAGAGAGAGTGACATATAGATACACGTGGAGAGGAAGAGATACACACATTCAGTGAGAGAGATTTATACAGAGAGAGACACACGCACACACTCAAAGAGAGAGACAGGCAGAGATACATTTGAGGGCGGGAGGGGGAAACAGATAGAGACACCGAGAGACTTACATACACAGAGAGGCACAGAGAAGAGAGAGGTACACACAATAACTTGTATTTATGTAGCATCCCCCTCCCCTGCCTTATTGGGTAAATAATATTCCCTTACTCTGGCCTCCCGCTCCCCATAATGAAGATCAAACTGAATATAATGTTCCTTCGTCTATAATATAAGATTCCCTGGACACCTATTTTATTCATATCCTTGTAGTATATTCCACTGGACACGAATTGTATAACTGCACTGCGGGTCATGTGGTATTGAAAGTCCTCCAAATGAGTGTTGTCAACCTGAGTATGCTTTAATCTCGGTTGCGTAAAATCTCCTCCATGTGAGAAGCCAAATGGTTGACGTTGGACTGCTTTTTAATGGTGTACCATTAAATCCCAATTTGGATTTAATGGTACACCATTAAAATACATTTGCTAAAATTTGAATTTGGAAATTGCTATATAAAAATGTGCACTTGTACCTGTGTTCCTGCAGAGGGCACTGATTTCATAAATGGCAATATCTTGAGAATTTGTCGCGAGTCTGCATTTCATCCAATCGCTCCCTCCAGGTTAGCTGGAATTAATGGACTCGCCATGTTATTTGTTCTCTCATGTGCAGCCAGCAAACAGGGACCAAGCTATAAGTGGGTCAAGGGTCCAGCACTACAGATTGTGCCGCCCACCCACTATGGGAAGTTGGGGGCAATTCTGCTCTAGGGAGAATTTTTTTTTAAAAAAAAAAACAAAAGGCTTTGGCAAATTGCTGCCAACAATACAAAATAAGATTAATTCAATCTGTTATGTAGTAATCACATGCACCTCCATGCTTTTGGCTTCCAAATATTCCTTGGATTTAAGACATTCATTTTCCAGGAATCAGAAGTGTTGACAAAACTGCATTTAGGTGACAGGATTTGATTTGGAGGTTTACCAATTATCCTGGGACCCCGAAATCCTGGGACGTCCACAAATTACACAGTCGCTCCATTCTACAGGAAATCCTGTGAAGCGCTGTGAGACATTGTCCTGACATGAAAGGTGCTATATCATTTGCAAGGACTATTTATTATTGTATTATTTATTTTACATTTGCTAAAATTGACGCACCATCTCACAGATACACGTAGACAGACACGAAAAAGAATCAAAATATCTGCGTCATTTTGTGGGTGCGTTTTACAGCCCGTTTCATTATAAATGTTAGTGTTACACAGTACTTAAAAGTTGCGTGTTCATAATACAGGTTAGAAATCTACAGAAAAGACAGAATTGCTTTTGTAGGCACTCTGCCAGTTTGTAAATTATAAAACGAGGGCCAAGGCTGAAGTCATTTTTTCATCAAGAAAAATGATTCTCAATGCCAAAAGCTTGTGAGTTGTAAAATGCTGATGTTATCACGAACAGTTGATTAATGATTCCTCTATATTAAAAAAGGATGCTCGGAATTAATAATTATAACAATCCTTGCATTTGATATAGTCTTATTAAGTCTTCGAGACGTTTCAATGCGCTTCACAGGATATACTGTAAAGTGAAATGACTGTATATTTTGTGGGTGAAATAAGATTATTAGACTGTTTGAAATCATTGAGTAATTTAGTGAGATTAAGCATATTTCATCACAGGATGGACAGGAGCATGCCGCTGATCGATATTGGGTATCAATCAGTTTGTGCCTCATTACTCAGTTTGAGCTCTGACTTGTCTCAGAATTATTACATTTTATGCTGTTCACTTTTGCAAATCCAGTTCTCTTTTGCCCTTGCCAATTTTCTCTCCTCCTCTAATGCAGACGTAATTATTTTCCCATCCATTGGGTGTGGTTCCACAGTTGTCTGCCACCCTTCATTATCTCGCCCGAGTGGCCATTGTGCATCAGCCTGGCTCAGTCGGTAGCACTTTCGTTTTTGAGTCAGAAGGTAGTAAGTTTGAGACCCACATCGGGACATTGAATTGATATAGTCGATCTTGACACTCAATTGAAGTCCTACATTTTTGGAGGTGCAGTCTTCAGATGAGATGTTAAACCGAGGTCCGATCTGCCTGTTCAGGTTGATGTTAAAGAGAAGCGTCTCTGGATAGCAATCTGGAGCAAGAGTCTTGGTTGAATTTTCTCACCAAGAAGTGCTGAGACCATTAAACTCAACATAGAGCGGGCAAAACATTCTGGTTTAATGTTGCAACACCTCAGCTGTAGGCTGTGTGAACAGCCTGTGGGCAAACAATGTTCAAACCTGAATCTTTTCATTACTGGACATTTGCAAATTAATTTGTTTACAGATACATAGTAACTGCACTTCACCCTAAAATTCCTGGTAGACATTTGGATGACATGATCAGATCCTAAGAATGATTTGAATTTGAATTTGTCATGGCTGTTTCATGTATGTGTCAATCATGAAATATACCATTATAAAATGTTATTGGTTGAAAGATAAAGTTTGCCTTGGAAGCTTATGTACTTGGCAGAGAGTGATTGAATGACTATTTTGGTCCTGAGAAAAGAAACTAATAGATGTAGATCGTTGTTGAGCAATGATGGGATTGCTAGCACTTCATTCTCTGCTCTGTACCAACTGTAGAACTGATTTTGGTTTACTCCGTAGCTAGTAACCGTTTAATTTCTCTTCACAGATATGGGCTTATTTTGCCCAAGAAGGCAAAGCAGGACATCGCAACACTGTCCAAACCATCTATTTTTGGGGATTCCGATGATGAGGTATGTTGCATACAACAACAACATTTGTATAGCGCCTTTCATGTCAGGAGGACGGCCCAACGCTATACATTGAAACGTGTACGTCAATTTGAAAAAATGGACTTGTAGAAGTTTCTTCTAAAAATATTTAAAATGGCAGAACACTGAGATAGTAAGTTTGTTTACGGGAGTGTGTGTGTATGTGAGCGAAAGAGTGTGTGTGTGTGTGTAGGGGTGTGTGTGAGAGGGAAAATCTTGCTCTTCATTTCTCAGTTTGAAAATAACGCTATCTTAAAAGTAATCTGTACCGAGCAAACTCAAACTCAAGTCTAATAATATTGACTGTGTATCGCAATGCTGGCTGCTGTGAAGATATCACAAAAAAACAAAGATTGTTTTGAACAATTTATTATGTGTGAGGTACCTTGTGACAATTTTCTTTGTTACCATTCATACACCCGCATATAAACACACACAATAAGAGTATAGAAACCAAATCATTCGGCTTGTTCTATTCGTATTCCTCAGCATCCGATAGTGTCAGAGCAGAGAAAAGTAAGACAAAAGGGAGTGAGGGGGGAAGACAAGTCGCGTTATTTCTAAATAATCGAAAGAAAACACCATATTTGTTAGCATAATTTTGTGAGCGAAAACTTTTCTCTGTATTTCTCGTCGCCGAAAACAATGTTATCTTGAAGTAGTCCACACTGAACAAACAGAACCTCATTTGTGTAAGTCTAATAATGGCAGCTGTTCATTGTGGTGTGATGGGAGCTGCGGCTGAAAGCATAAAAAAAGCAATAAAGCCTTGACATCCCTTTGATCGTATCTCGAGGAGATAAGATGTGTTGCTTGGTACAGAAATTATTTCGTTGGTTTAATAATAATTTGAGAATGATGCAGATAACTGGAATTTTGGTGGGTAGGAATTTCATTTCCTGTCAGCCGTGTTATCAATAGTTACGTCTTGTTGATAATATTCAGAGAACGCTGCAAAAAATTACCCCTGCCCATAAATGTTGTTTTAGTTGTTTTCGTGATTGTGATATAGGGCAGGGTAGCGGCAGTGATGAGGGGAGGTGAAGAAAGAAGACAGGATAGATTTGAAATGAAGCATGAAGGGCTAACTATATTGTGGGCTTTTCTGAACCCATTTTGTATTATACCACGACTGTATCAATCAACGACTGTTTGTGAGACACTGCTACGAGCAATCAACTGCCGCGTTTCACCCGCAAACTATACAGTCAATTCACTTTACAGTATGTTCTGCGAAGCGCTTTGAGCCGTCAAATCCTTGCTCTTGATATTGTACCTTTTCACGTCGGGGGGAACGACCCAAAGCGCTTCGCAGATATCACTGTGAAACAAGCTGTATTTGTAGGTAAACCGGGCAGACAATTTGCGAACAGCCATGCCCTCCAAGCCGCCACAAAGTGAACGGCCAATTATATTTTTACTCTGGTCAAGGAATTGTTGGCCGGGACACCGGGAGAAACTCCCTTCGCTTTTCAAATAGTGCTGCGGGATCTTTGCTTGAACGGGCACAGATGGGACTTCGGTTTCACGCCTTATCCGAGGGATGGCATCTCAGCACCTCCCCAGCATCATCGTCTCGTCGTGTTTCCAAGTCTGACGTCAAGCTTGAACCCGCAACCATCTGACTCGAGATTATCAACCGAGCCAGATTGACACCATTGGCCCTTTTCACTAATGTAATTCAGACAGATGGGTGAATAGATTAAGGGCCTGGGCCGCTGTGGAATAAGATTCCATTGCTTTAAACTGACAGCTGTTTTGAAGTTGTTTATTTCTCAAGTTTTCTTTTTGACCCCTAATTGCAGTGCCAAACCTGCAGCCTTCCTTATCAGTAAACATTAACGAGCACTCGACTGCCTCTGAAATCAGACCGATATAAACCGAGTTGAGGGAATAAGCGAGGAAACTTCTCAGCTAATCGCAAAAGTTCACAGTTGCTGTGTGGATGCGGTTAGTGCAAATGCGAGGAGACACTGAGATCTTAGACATGATCGTTCACAACCCGGATTTGCACAGGATCAGTAAACACTGAATCCTAAACTGTAATAGGATGTGTCTGCAGGAACTTTTTACTCCAAAGTAGTTCTCCGTCCAGAGTTATCACAGGGAGAGAGGTAGGCAAGTGACGCAATTCTTGTGCGAATCCGGGTTGCGAAGATCGCATTTGATTGTTCACCTACCAAAAAACAAAGTCACTATACATGAAGTGATTGACCCATTTTATCTGTGTGGATGGGGAGGAGGGAGGGTTGTTGGCCAAGGAGAAGCCAGGAGAAATGCCCTTTCCTTCAAATAGTGCCGCCCCCCACATTCTCACCCGCACTAAACTCCGCACTCCGATTACCCCAATTCTTGCCAAACTCCATTCGCTCCCTGTCACAGGGTGAATCGACTTCAAGATCCTCACCCTAGTGTTTAAATCCCTCCACGCCTTGGCAAACCCCTATCTCTCCAACCTCCTCTCTCCCCACAGCCTCCTCTCTGCCTCTCTGCCGACTCCAGCCTCCTCCTTGTTCTCTCGAATCCTCCGCTCCACCATCGGCGGCCACTATGTCCCGAGGCTATGGAACTCCCTCCCTCAATCCCTTCGCCTTGCCCCCCTCTTGTTGTTGTAGTGCCATGGGATCTTTAACATCCACTCGAACAGGAAGACAGTTTAACGTCTCACGTGAAGGACTGACATGAGAGTAGAAATAGTGTCATGGTTCTTGGGTTTTTTAAACAAAAACAGGGCTCGTTCTATTCTCGCTGCCCAAAGAAAATCTGCTTTGGATTGTAGGAGTGTAACCATTCATTTTCAGGAAGGATAATAAAGCAAGCCGACTTCATCCAGTTTATTAAAGTCTGCCAACAGTTGACTTAAAACAGATGACGTCCAAAACTTTTTGCAAATGCTGCAAAGCACTCAGTAAATCTTGAGTGAAGTATAACAAACAACTTAGCACTACTTCAGAGAGAGAGAGAGAGAGAGAGCGAGCACAGGAGACTGGGTGTCCTCATATGAAGTGATGTAGAATTCAGTGTATATAAGTTCTTTATCTTTGAATCTACTTCCACCCTACGGATCCCCCACTAAGTGACTGCTCGGCCCTTGGAGAGCATTCCCACAACACAAAATGTACCATTTGTTGAGACTGTTAACACGATTTTTGTGAGCAGGATGCAATGCTGCTGTTGCAACACATTTATATTTTAGAAAAATAATCCTTATCACGACTTCGAGACGTCTCAAAGAGCTCTTAGCAAGGAACTGCTCTGAAGAGTAGCAGCTCCTAATTTTTTGATACGCTGTGTTATTATTTTACCTGAAATCATAATGTTCGGTGCATATGATAACTGGGGTTTTATTTGAATGGTATTATGTTTTAAACCGAGTGTGTCAGCTGAACTCCGCAGTAAGTTTCCAAAAATGAAGGTTGCACTTTTCCCTTTGTATTCTGAATAACATTTTCAGAAGAGTGGGAGTGCTTTACCACAATCTTTCATAATCGCTGATTTCTGCCCCCCTCTGCCCGAACCTTTGATGCATATCTGGAGGTAGTTTCGAAACCCTGTCCTTTTTGCACAAGTTAAAGCACTAAAATTGTTGCACCAGAGTTTGGATACTGTTTCTGATAAAAGTAAGAGTGGAAAATGCTTTGTGAGAATAGAAAATTACTTTTATTCTTTACAGCCAAATCCTGTACTTATTAGAATCTGACCATTATTAATATTCCCCCTTTCCCCAACCAGCAGCTTTGGCTAATGAGTTAACAACAACCGCAATTTATATTTGTGTAGTCCAATGACTCACTGACCCTGGGCGTGTGATATTCTGACTATCATTCAAGTCTAGGCGATGTTTCATTTTTGAAAAAAATCATTACAGCGTATTTATTTTCTGCTTCCAGACATCAGTGGGTGAGAGCCTTCAGAAAGAGGCGCTGAAGAAGAGAGTAATGAAACAGGTAAACTTCTGCTTAAGGCGTGCTTTGCAATCGCCAATTTATAATCTAGAGCGGGCTGTCCAGCTGATCAGTTTTTAGCCCAGTGACACTGTCTATCAAAAATATTAGCTTCAAGCAACTCCTACGGTTAAATATTGTAGGCACATACAGCACTAAGTGACTTTCACTTGAATGACCAGTCTAGAATTTAGGACGATGACTTGAAATGTACCACTGAAGTATTAAGATGAATTATAATGACGTTTCAATAGATTTAGCATAGCATGCTTGCTGCATTACATCACACAATTCTACCCACCGAATCCAAATAGTCTGAATTTAGAATTCTAACTGCGATCGGAAACTATTTTAAGTGACTGAATGTGAACGTAACTATATATAATTCCGCGGAAATCTCCCGCAACAGATCCTGGTTTGCAAACATTGAATTTGAATCAGATTTACAAACTGAAGGGAAACTACATCTATGTCTGATATCTTGTTACTGCGACCTGCCATCACATTGTGTTCAAGGAATACTGCACTCGGGATTGATTTATGATTAGTGGTGCCGATGGCGAGACAATAAAGAATGGACCAAAAGGAGAAAGAAATTCTAATCGCAGAGAATTACATAGACGCGTACAGAAACGGGCCATTCAGCATGTCTGTGTTACGCTGCATCCACATGAGCCTCCACTCCTCCTCATGGCCTTTATTCGCTTTTCCTCACTCATCGTAGAAAGTGGCACATCTGTTGAACTGCTATTTGTGGTTACTGATTTTATTCAATCATATTGCATAAGTTGAGTCCAGTCCCCTGGCCTTATCCACCCTGATAAAGCCAGGACATCGGACTCGACGTATTGTTAATTACCCTTTGGGTAAAGAAATACTTCCTGGTATCTGTGCTGAAGTTGCTGGTGTAAGGTGAGCCACAAACAAACAAACAAAAAAAAATTACATTTATATAGCGCCTTTCACGTCGGGAGACGCTGAAGCCTCATGACTGAGTATGGAGCGTTTCTTTTTCCAAATAGACAAAATTGGAAATGCAAAAGGCTCTGGAAGAAGATTCCACGGTGTACGAATATGACAACATCTATGATGACCTTCAGCAGAAGAAGATCGAAGGCAACGCCAAGTTACTGTCTGGTGCAAATAAAAAGGTAGAAGTTCCCTTTATATTGTTTCGAGATCTCTTGTATTGTTGGAGGGGAAGCAAGTTGAGGCTAAATAGAGAGCTGAGACACTTGATGCACTTTACCACCAATATTGGAAAGAAATTACACGTCAGCTGGTTAGCAGTTGTTAAGCTTGGGTTTCTATAAGGCTGTAGCTTGTGTTAGAAGTAAAATTGCAAGGAACCCCCCCCACATAGCCTGTTACCAGCCAATTAAGGAGCTGTTTTGCAGTGCTAGGCAATATCCCCTCCCAATTGCTTGCAGTGGATAGAGAATAAATATATTCTGTGAAGCGCTTGGACACAGGCGCTATATCAAATGCAAGAATTATTATTATTATTGAATTACAGAAGAGTCTTAAACTTGTATGTGGTTGTAAAGGATGAAGTTTGGTAGAAATAAAAAAAAGTAGAAGCATCGCAGTATGTAAAATATTATTTCTCTCAGATTAACCAAAAATGTTAAAACAAAAAAAACTTAGTTTTTTTTTAAAAAAACCCAAAAAGCCCAAGTACATCGAAAGCTTGATGAAAGCCGTCGGAGAACGAAAAAAGGAGCAAGAGAGAAGGATGGAGCGGAAGATCCAAAAGGAACGAGAAGCTGAAGGGGAAATGTACGTGGACAAAGACGCTTTTGTCACGTCCGCCTACAAAAAGAAGCTTCAGGAGCAAGCGGAGGAGAAAGAACTGGAGCGCAGAGAAGCAGCCATAGAAGGTGAACTTTCATAGACTTGCCCACAATATACAGGGGATCCTCGGCGTAGCTCCCTTCAAAACAGCAGTGCCTCCACTTCTAGCGCAGTATGCAAAACAACAACAACTTGCATTTACATAGCGGCCCAGAGCGCTTGACTTCGGCAGAGCACAACACCGAGCCGGGTGGGGGGGAGAGAGGGGGGTGATCAGAGACACAATCTAATTGGAAGGTCTTCGGACGCGACCTGAAGATAATAATAATAATCCTTGCATTTGATATAGTGCCTCATCACGTCTTCGAGACGTCTCAAAGCGCTTCACAGAATATACTGTAAAGTGAACTGACTGTAGTTACTGCTAGGTAAACAGAGGCATGTGGAGTAAGGAAAGTTGCCCAGCATTTCGCTTTGCCGGGAATAGAACCCAGTACTATCTAAGATTTTTACTTAAAACCGGTCTCTCACTTGCGAGGCGAGCGCTCTAACCGCTGAGCTACAGGACTCCACGGGGATGGGGAAGGAAGGGGCAAGGCGGAGGGATAGAGGATAATAGCCAACTCCTGGGTCACCAGGTCGCGACTGGCGTCCATTTGCTGAACGTTACTTGACCGTAACGTCTCTCACTCGCGCTGTCTATGCTCAAAACGAGACCCCAACAGCTTCGCAGAGTGACGTCAGCGGTTCCCTTTCTGCGGGTGGACTAACCGTGCAGGAATTTTCCATGGTAACCTTTTCTTTGCACTTTGCTTCTAAACTTAGGCTCTGGTAAGGTTTCCCCGTGTAGTAATCCTTGCGCCAGTAACAATAATCCAAGCAATTCTAAACCAAATGGACATCGTGTGCCCTTTTGAGCAAAGCTTTTCAAGCGAGGAATCGGAAAAACAAAACGTTTTCAAAACAGATCATAATATATCGCTAATTTCTCTGTGCGCTGCATTTGCTGCCTCAGTACTATATGTGCAAACGTGCTTAGAAACTCCTTACCGATGTTGAATTGTGGATGCCGTCGGGAAAGAAATTCATCTCCCAAAGGCTGAATGAACCCCATTCCCCATCCCCCGCCTTCCCCATTGAAATACGCTGCCTCCAGAGGGCATTGTGTAGCTGAAGAACAAAGCTACTGGACTAGGCATTTGGTTGCTTATGAAAAAGCATTTGGATGTAAGTGGTCTGCAGATTTGCAGATGTACATGCAGCTGGTACTCTGTTATGTTCAACTTCCTTTGTATACACTGTAACCCCAACGTTGACGCACGCGTCACTGTTAAGTGCGCCGAGGCGCTACTGTGAGTAGAAAGCGCGATTTAAATGCAAGTTGTTGTTGTGTGTATCGTTAATTAAAACGGAAACCGTTTTTGATTGCACCCCAATTGTTTACAAGGCATCCAGTATCCCTGAAGCGAGATTACAGAGGGGATTTGTAACTATGAATTCTTCCTTCTGTGAATTCAAATACAGTTCATAACTCGCAAGAACCAGACCATAACTCGCAAGCACAGGCCTTGGCAGACATACTATCTAAAATTAATAATAATAATCCTTGCATTTGATATAGCGCCTCATTACGTTGTTGAGACGTCTCAAAGCGCTTCACAGAATATACTGTAAAGTGGATTGACTCTGTGTATTTTGCGTGCGAAATGCGGGAGCCAGTTTGGCACAGCAACAGGTATTCTGTGAAGCGCTTTGAGACATCTCAACGACGTGATAAGGCACTATGTCGAATGCAGGAATTATCAGAAAACACGGCCTTTATCTGAATTTTACTTATGCTCTTAGCTTCGTTGGACGTGACTAAGCAGAAGGACCTCAGCGGTTTCTACCGACACCTCTTGAATCAAACGGTGGGCGAGGAAGCGATGCCAGAGTGCAGCATTCGTGGGATTAAAAGGTAAAATGGAAACGGTTGCTGCTTTCGAATACGTTCTCCCAGGGGATAGTGGGAGAATTCATTGAGCAACATATATGAGCTAGGTCAATGAACCTTCTAGCTAGTGGTAAAACCTTCTGGCTCAGGGTGCCAATTGAGAGGTGTGGGAGGTTTCAGATTACTGTTCCTTCCACAGGGATTTGGCAGCAACACTTGAGCTTTCATATGGGTTACTAGGGTGGTGCTGCCAGTGGAAAAAGTACCATTAAAAACAGCACAGACACAGTGCAGTTTTGAGGAGAAAGGTCAATGCGAGGGAAGACATTGTGCAAAGTACTTATCTCAGATAATGGTTTGGGACAGGGAGGGAGGGAGATCTGTGAGAGTGGCATTGCCATAATCCTGCCGTAAGGTATCCCCCTCTCGCTTGGGTTGTAGAAGTTAGAAAAATCATTACGTAAAGGAGTTTGTCAGATCCTTGTCAAAGCAGCATAAATAATAACAGATTCTCCAGCTGGGTTTTAAATTTCTTCAAACGAACTGGAAATCGCTGAGTGTTATGGATTTATGGTTTTGAACGATGTTATTGCTGGCACTTTCTGTATGAAATATGAATTGCTGTTCTTGTGGTATTACCAAACTAACTCGCATCCTGGACAGATGTGAGGGGAAACATTATGCTCTGCAACAATTGTGGTCTGGTTATAGCAGCTCCTCATGTGACTCAGTCTTGATTGTATCCAGACTGCCTTCCGCAACTGTGTATAATCCAAAGCGGAAAATGATAGAATCTGGAAAAGGAATAGAAGCGACGGAAAGCAAAGAATATTCAAATACTGCGGCCTTCTCACACTGTCAGCCATTGTAAGCTTTAGCCTACAAAATGCAGTCGTTGCGCTCGACAATAAATCTTGTGAAGCACTTTCAGAAATCTTGATTACGTGAGAATTACTGCTAAGACCGTTGCAGTATAGCTTTCACGTCGGGAGAACGTCCCAAGGTGCTGGGAAGTTTTGATATACTGGAGTGAATTTGAGCACGGTTTATTGTTCTGCGTTTACACAACCCGCTTATTATGCTGCTGTTTCTCTAACCCGCCTTACCCGTACTTAAAGTCTGACATTAAATATACCGCTCTAATTCTGTAGCAAATCCACCACAAGTACTAGTGATGAAACACACGTCTTAGTGCTTTCTCTTCAAATAAAACTAAACACAAGCGATGAATGGAGAAAATTACACAGCTTTTTCAAAAGCTAGAAGAAAAGAGCCATTTCCTAGTAGCCATCTTCTAAACAATCTTCAAGCTCAGTCGTAGAATATATAAGAATAGAATGCTTTTTATTTCCGGTTGTTGCATTCATGAGAAAAACTTTCACTGTCCGTTTGTTATGTCTGTTTCATAGACTTTTTGATTCTCAGTGTTTTGCCTAGTTAATTTCTTAACACCAGAATCAAATGACTCAATGAAAACCATATCATAACCTTGTGGGCAACTTGTATAGTATACAGTATAATAGTGAAGCTTAAACCAGAAAACTTATGACTGATGAGTTCAAAATAAAGATCCAATATTACTATAGTTAGGAAGTTTTCTAATCTTCAACCCCAAGCTTCTCTGTACGTAAACGGCATAACATAACACTGTAGTTATTTGACTGTTTCCACGCTTGTTTCCTCAGTATGAAGGAAGAAAAGCCAAGAGGCTATTCCGATGAGCCAGACTCTAAGAATTTTGTCAACAGGTCAAGGGAGTCCAACTCCGAAGGCAAGGACAATAGGAACCTGGATGCAGACAGCGACCTTGAGGTTGACAGTGATGATGAAGGCGAAACTAAGGATAACAGAAAACTGGCGTTCAAGCAGAAAAGGGACAGCAAGAGCTCGGAGGTCAACGAAGAGAAGTCAAGGAGCCGCCAGTACAGAAGGCATGTAGAGTCGTCTAGTGAGGAGGAGGAGGAGGAGGAAGAAGAGGGTCGTCAGCGCCAGAGTCAGTCAAACAAAGATAAGAGCGAGAAAAGTAAAAGCCATTCGAAAAGCTCCCGGGATGATGATAGGGAAAGAAACCGCAGAAGCGGAGAAAGTCTGAGCTACAAGGAGTCCAGCCACGACCAGGAAAAGTACAGAGAGAGAGATCACGATCGAAAAGAGAGAGAACGGAACAAATATGAGGACAGTAGAGATCGCAAGAGAGACCGAGAGGAAAGGCATAAGGATAAAGATTACAACAGTAGAAGAGACGAGAGGCACAGAGACCATGGGGGAGAGAAACCAAAAGAGAGGGAAGAACGAGGAAGAGACGAAAAACAGAGGGAGCGAGACAGAGCCAAGAGGGACGAGAGCAGGAGGGGAGAAAAACACAGGGACCAAGATAGAGAAGACAAAACCAAAGAAAAGGAAGAGCGTGTAAAGGAGAAGGGAAGAGAGGCCTACGAGCGACGGGAGAGATACAAAAGCAGCGAGGGGAGAGACGATAGCTCCTCGCGGTCAACGGAGAAGGAGCGGTCGAGGAAAAGTGACCACAAGAGATACAGATCCGAAGAAAAGGAGAGCAATGAAGACAAGACCGCCGGGTCCAGAAATACAGACAAAGAGAAAGAGGGCGAGATTCCTGACTTGCCGTGCGAGCAAAAGCCCAGCGACGGACCCCAGAAGAAGCCAATCGAAACCGAGGCCGCCCAGCAGTTGAGCAAATTTGCCAAGCGCAGCAACGAGGAGACAATCACGTCTGCAAAAGAGCGATACCTGGCCCGGCAAATCAACCGAGCTTCGAAAAAGTCATATATCGAGCTGGAGGAAAACGAGTAATAATATTATTGCGGCTGCTGCCGACAGAAATCGAAATATATAAATAATTGATTCAATAAAAGATCTTTTTTCCTCCTTCTCTCCCCCCGCCCCTACCATCCCTACCCTTCCATGCCCCCGATAATCCTTCCGACACTAAGACCAATGTTATAAAGGAGAATTTCATCCTAATGAAAATGCAAAGGTATTTTCCAGACTTCAGCTGTGTCGATGGATTACCTGGAGTTTTAAAAACCTGGTTGTGTTTATATTTGTTAAAGATTGTAGTGTGCTTTTTTTTTAAACTAAAAAAGAAAGGAAAAAAATATATGCCCTGGTCTGATTGAATGGACGGTGACGGTTTTGGAGATTCTATTGTAAAATTGTCTAGAAGCGGTGTGAAATATGGGTGTTTAAAAGAGTTTTATATCCAGTGTAAAAAGTAACGTCAGCAAGCCGGAAAGTCCCGTTGCTTTAAAGCTTTCCGTTAAGTAAAATACTATAATTTCACTTTACAAAAGCTTTCATCTCCTGCATACTTCATAGTAACGGGCCACTGCAGTCAATACTTGTGCGTATTGGTGACATATGGTTATTATTGTGCGAATGATGTAATGCTTCTGATTTAATCTATTCGTGCTGAGTTGCATTAAATACTGCTGACTTTTACAAGTATATCACTGCAAGGCACCTCCACTCTTTCTATTTTATTTTCCCTCGGGTTTCTAAATGTGAGCAGTGTTTTAGAGCTCAGTCGGGTATCGTACACAGCACTCTCATGAAATTTGACATGTTTGCTGCCACACGTTGTCGCACGCTTCCTTTTTAGATAATACCGTAAACATTCATCGATCGAAGCCGGCTCTTTCATCGCTGGCTACTAATATATCGCCGTAACCGTTACGGGATTAATTGTAAACGTTTTGCGGTCTTTGAAACTGAGAAAAAAAATGCCTCGCTCTTTTTTTGGTTTTCTTTTTTTTTCAAAAAATGATGTTTGTCACTGCTTGAAATTGTTATAGGCTTTGCCTATAAATTTGCTGCGTGTACCAGGGCATTTTGAAGTTTTACTGGAGTATTTGACAACTAGAATTGCAATAGTTTATCTTGGCTATGAAGGAAAATGCATTTGCAGGAAATCATGGAAGCTAATTTACGCACGACAATGTGGCACGAGCATGAAGAGAGTGGGCAATTTTATTTTGGGAAATTGTCCCAACAGGATTATTTAGGTCCACCTCCTGTCAACTCTAGCTCATGCCTTCCCCCATAATAATTAGTAGTTTTAACAGACTGCTTCAATGAACTGCAACATGGCAGTGATTCTATTACAATGAAGCTTGCGGTTGTGTCTTTTACAAACCTCATGGCAAAGGGCACTATTCACCTTTATCTGTGGCCAATGTTTATCTTATCTAAGCTAACTTGCCTTGCTTTGTAGAGTGTCCAGAATCTGCACAGCAGAAAGAACAACAAATTACATTTACGCAGCGCCTTTCATGTCGGAAGGACGTCCCAAGGTGCTGGACAGTTAGGGGTTTGCACCCGAGCCGGGGGTTTGGAATCCAGAACGGAGGGTGGTGGAAGGTTAGTTTTGTATGAGTGATTTTTACACTGAAATCATTAGGGATCAGAGGTGAAACTGCAAACACACATTAGTGGCTAAATGAACTATTGTGTGGGGAGTTAATGTGCAGAGGGTTTCTCTATATAATGCCTTCAGGTTGTGGAACAAACACAACTTGTGACTCCAATCAAGATCATATTTTCCTCTTAAATTGCATTTAAACTATTACCCTACATGTTACTGTTTTTATAATAATAATCCCTGCGTTTGATCCAGTGCCTTTGATTTTGGGACGACAATTGAATACAATATGAAAGTACAGGTACATGTGAAATATTTGCTATATTAACATTAAAGAAAAAAACTCCAGAACATTCCCTTTAACTAATGGAAATGATAAACTTTATTCAGTCACCATGTAAAATAAGAGCAAGAACTGTAGGCACACATTTGCATGATAATTGTTACAACAGTTTAGAAATATAATTTGCATACACATATATATACTGGACAAAGACAGTTGACAGTAACACATAGACTTCACTTACAGTAATTTGAATAAACACACAAGACAAGCGACATAAGGTAGATATGCAAGGATGATTTGATACAACAGCAGTTGCATAAGCAAACTCATCAACCCCACAAATACTGTATTTAAAAAAAATTTAAACCGCAAATGCAAGAGAGCAATTAAATGATTTTTTTAAAAAAAAATAGCGAATTCCGATCCCGATACATTTTTAAATGACCTAAACATCAGGTTTTAAGTGCGTGAGCATACAATTCAATTGAAATGTTATCAAGCTTTTCACAAGTCACAGTTTTACACAAGCTGTGAGGGGTGTGTGTGTGTGTGCATGCATTCATGCACTGTGGGAAGTATAACTGATCAGTCACAAACGTGAAACTGTTTTGCAAGAATGTGAAACGAAATTCGATACTTCAACCCATCTTTTAAAAACATTTTCTAAAATAAAAGTAGGTGTCATAACTTTCTGTAAAAAATAATATTGACTTCACTTGCAAATTCAAACTGAAGACTGGTTATGTAAATTTAAAAAAAAGTTAGACAGCTATTCACCATTCCAGTTATTTCTTCCTTTTGGATTACTTTTGCATGCATCCCATTTACCTGCCTTTGTTAACAAGCAATGACCCAATGTGGAAATAAAAAGACTTCTCAAGGGAATAAGGCACCCTGAACGCAGAGGAGTAGTCAATAAACGGAATCAGAAGTAATGATCAATTTCGAATTGATCGCTTACAAACGACAAACGGTCTGTTCCATTCTGTGTTGGTCAAAAACGCAAACTAAGTCGTTCCAAATTATTTTTGTTTGTGCTCTTCCCCTTCAATAAACAAGCTATTTGTAAGCATTTAAAGCTAAACATCCTTACACGTTATAAATTCACAAATAACTTGCTTACTTATAAATAGAAATACCAATCACTCAGTCGTACGCACACAAAGTATATCATAAAAAGACGTAACAGTCCATTGCAGTCATGGAAACTCTTTCGTTATAAAACAATGTGTGTCACGCCTCACAGGCAATGATGAGCAATGGATAGATTTTTCTGACCTTTTATCACTTAGGCCTTTTTTTTTAAGCAGACCTTTCGTACAGAAAGATTAACGGAAAAACCTAAAGACTTTGAAAGGATTGCTGACATCAACACGCTCAGTTTTGAGGATCATTGCGTGTCCTGGTGTCTGTTACTCTGGCATGTGTTCTGACTCCTCATTTCCACTGGCTATGCTCATCAGCAGTCGGGCCAAGAGGTTAAGGGTTATCCAATGCATTAACATCATTCAGGTGGATGCCAGAATTGGCCCCTTCATTCTCGTTGAGTTCTGGGGTTATGCTTTTCAAAATCCGCTGTTAACGAAAGAAAAGTCACAAATTATTAATAATAATAATAAGAATCATCCACGCATTTAAATGACATTGTTGTCCAATGGGGCAGACTTGGCACATATTTAGCGAGTGCCTTTGTGATGCACAGTGTAAATGAATAGTACAAAACATATGTGGATAAATATTTGATCTTCAAACGTAAGAGAGAGGAGTTTCCCTTCTCTGCTGCTAGACCTCTGCTGCATACCCTTTGGATCTATATTATTTGTGAAATATTTTCAACAACCACATTCGAGTTGATGTAAGATAAGCAGGCAACTCATTTCTTCCTGATCCCAGACCTACAAACTGGTCCCATTTAATTAATTGATGTCTTACAAAGCATTTTAAATGCTTATATTTTGTTTGTGTGTGTGTGTTTGGAGAGAGAGAGAGATGTGTATGTACATATATAAAATGGATTGAAACGCCTTTTTCATCTAAGCCAATGTTGTGAAGTGCACAATTGTCAGGGCAAACGAAAAGTGATTGCGTTTATACTGGAGTATCAGCCTTCTTGTTGGGGGAGAGGGAGGGAGGGGGCGGAGTGGGGGAATACACCCAGGGTTAGAATTCATAACATGAGATTGGTCACTCAATCCACAACTGTTTGTCGGGACTCTGCTGTGCACAATTGACTGCCGGGTTTCGCCCACAAAATATACAGTCAGTTCACTTTACAATGTATTCTGTGAAGCATTTTGAGACGTCTCAAAGACGTAATGAGGCTCTATATCAAATGCAAGGATTATTATTATTATGAGCTATCCTCGTTGCTCCTAAACACGTTATCAGGCAGACCTTTGACGAGCAGCAGAATATTCCAATTTGCGAGGACAAGTACCATTGAGATCAAATAGGTCATTTCTCGTACAGTAATGTTTGCGTGTGCTGAACATTTTGTTCCCTGTTCCTCGTTCATTTCCCCAGTGGTAAATAAAGCTCGCTTCAACAACTGCTACGTACCTGTTTAAATGTTCCCGGAGTAATCACAATTTTGTAAACCATGTAGGTTGGGACGCAGATGAATGATGAAGTACCGATGCAGTAGCCAACCACTGCAGTCCAATAGGGGTAGGTATAGTTGTAGAGCTTAAGTACTGGGGGAGTTGACAGAAAGCTGGCAATGATGAACTGTTGAAAAATAGGACAACGGTTGTTAATGGAAAGATGGAGAAAATAATCCAATTCCCCCTCGACAGATTTACAGCCTCTCATACTCTTTTTGCCTAATAAACAATGACGCCAAACAGCATTTTGATTTATTCGACGGCTTGATAGGGCTGTTAAGATGCAGTACTCACACAATTAAGGACCTGATGTTGAGAAAAAAAAAGGCTATTTCAATGAGAAAGAAGTTTGAGTGTCTTTAAAAACTGAAGTTTTATTTATATCAAGTGCTCGCCGAGGCCAGCTATTCCATGGGTTAGATGTAGTTCAGACCTTATCCCTGGTCCTCCCCAGCATTTGCCTTGAACGCACATGTTTTTTCTTGAGGGATTATTATCAGGCTTGTGGAGTAAATAACTTGTCCAACGTTTCGCTCTGCTGGGAATCAAACTCGGGTCTCGTGCTCTAACCACTGAGTCAGAGGACTCAACTTTGCATTTATATATCGCTAATTGCATCAGGATCTCACCTCAAGTGCTGCTCTTGGAGCCGACTGGGAGTCAGAGCTGGTGTTGGGGGGGGGGGGGGGGGGGAGAAAGAGAGCCGACGGAGGGAAGTGGGGGAATGTGACCAAAGGTGTGGAGGAAGGGGTGGGGGAGGGGATGAGACGGAGGCACTTCCGAGATGCAGTTCCGAGAGTGGGGCAAAATGGCTGAAAATTTGACCCCAATTGCAGATTGATGAAGAGCATTACAACAATTAGTGTTTCGCCCACAATATATACAGTCAATCCACTTTAAGTATATCCTGTGAAGCGCTGTGAGACGCCTCCGCGCCATATCAAATGCAAGGATTATTATTATAGTAACTGAGACTGAATTACAGGCCTGGGCAATGGAATTGACGGGGAATGGACATGGATGTAAACCAGCCAGCATCACCTGGTTGTGGATCGGGTATTTTAATCACCGCAGAGCCAGTTTGTATTTATTTATTTTCAGGCTAGGGGCAGACATTAATCTCCGTTCTTTAAACCCTCACTGACAAGAAGTGAAACCATATATTATTACTTTTTATGCTCCTAGGTTCCTGAATAGTGGCTGAAACAAGAAGTCTTGAGAAACTACATCTGGTTATCTGCAAGTTGACATCCTTTACTGAGTGTGGGAAGGAGGTTGAAATATCTTTGAAGGTCAAATATTAGTATCCGCTTTATAATACGGGACATCCAAAACGATGGGATGTAATCTTAACATTGGAGCGAGGACAGTTGGCGAGATCCTCATACAGATGGTGGTGAAAATTTAGAGGTGGAATCTCCTGGGAATGTTTAAAAGGGAGATAGGTGCTTGGGGGAGGCAAGGGGTATAGAGGAGGGACAGGGGAAACTTGCAGTCTGGCTTGATTGCACTGTACTACACAGGGCTGTTGTTAGTAACACTGACATGCAGTGTGATGTTGAACCTCATTAATACAGAGTTGCTGTAAAAAGTCTCATCTCCACTGTTCGACTGTAAAAACTAGAGCCCACTGCAGTGCAATCAAAGATCTCTAACCTGAGGGTTTGGATCGAGCCCGAAAGACATGAACTAATGGCCCTTCTTCCTAATAGCAACATGAAATAAGCGTCAGTCATTTCAGTTGAGTTCAAATTAGACGGGGGTGGGTGGGGGGGGTTTAAGGGCAAACATCTGCGTGTCCAAATGAGCTTGTTTCATGGTAATTGGGGAAAAGAATGTTGGACGGATGGTCACACTGACCCGTGACAGACAAGAACAACAACAAATTACATTTGTATAGCGCCTTTCACATCAGGAGATCCCAAAGCGTTGGACAGTCTGCAATGAGTCGTTTAGATTTGACCCTTGTCACACTTGATCTGGCAGTGCTGTCAATTCCCTAACGCAAAGGTGCCTCATCTTGATAAGCACATACGTACCAGACGAACGCTCACACACCCACACACAGTGCCAAAGACTGAATCTTAACCCTGAGGTTAATCTTACCATGAGGAAAATTGGGCTGATAGCGACCCAGCATATCTGCCAGAACCAACCAGGGCTAAAGCCAAGCATTTCTTTGATGTCCCTGCAGAAGCGCTTCATTCCTAAAGAGAAAAGAAGGTGAAATTATCAACACAGATCAAAGTTCTATTTGCAGAAGCTGCTCGCTTTACAAAGTCTCCAAAAGAGTAACAACTCTTTATTGAAAACATCCGAGAAAGTGATTACCTAATAAATGTTTCACATGATTCATTTTAGCCTCTGCTAAACAGGTAACGCACACATTTTTTTNACTGGGAACACCTTGTGATGTGAGGAACGCTGTTATTAATATAATCAATCTAGTAATTCCATAACACCTGACAAACGAACACTCTCGTATATTTTGCTAATGAATAACGTATTTGGAAATATAGCTGCTATACTGGGTTTATAGTGAGCAGTGTAAACAGATTGCGTGAATTATGCTAAAGTCCAAATAGCTCAGCAACTCTGAACAGTATGGTTTTGTTTACAGTATAAAAGAGCTGTTCTGCCAATAACATTTAAAAACAAATCGATATCCGTGTGAATGCGGTCTTTCTCTTCCTTAGAAGCTCTCCCCTGCAGATTAACATTTACAGAGTGACCTATTTTTTTAAAAAAAAAGGAAAATCAGCACAATCCTGACTCTCATTTGTTAGCGTCTGACGCTGCCTGGAGATGGTGCTTAAACCCGAACTGGGAGGGGGTATGGAGACGAACAGAGGTCACAAGATCGGTTCAGATGAAGAAGATTCATTAACTCATCCGATCTCATTCCCTCTAAGGCACCCACCCAGCTATCTTCCTCTCACAGCATTAAGCTGCTTTTTAAATGAGTCTCAGTGTCCCTGGCCCAAACCACCCTTCCCGGCGACCTGTTCCGATCTTAAATTCCCCCCAATGGGTCAAGAAAAAATATTCCTGGTGTCTGTCCTGATATCGTCTCTTCGAAGAAGTGGGTTTTTAGGTGGCTTTTGAAGACAGAGAGGAGCGGGGAGCGAAAGTGGAGTCCTGTAGCTCAGTGGTTGGAGCACTCGCCTCGCAAGCGAGAGACCTAGGTTCGATTCCCAGACGGGGCAAAACATTGGTTTCCTTACTCCACACGCGCGCCTCTGTTTACACAGCAGTAAGTAGGAACCCGGTTGTTAGTCGATTAGCGGATTGCTTTTTCCGGGTTAATAATTCCTTCAAAATAAATAAAAATTATTTGGTCACTCAATCAACGACTGTTTGTGGGGACTCCACTGTGCGCAATTGGCTGCCGCGTTTCACCTGCAAATATAGTCAATTCAATGTTTACAGCATATTCTGCGAAGGGCTTTGAGACGTCTCGCAGATGTGATAAGGCGCTGTATGAAATCTAAGGATTAAGTGGTCAGGGAGGCAAGGGGTCGGTGGGGGAGAGTTAAGCAATGGCACAACACTCTGCCTTGTTATCTCCTGCTGAAACCGATCTTACCATAAAACCACGAGACAGCTATCGCTTCCAGAAACACCACAGTAATAACAGCTGCTCCCGTAGCGTATTCTTCAAACAGCTTCACAACGTATGCTCCGCCCTGAGAATTACATGGAGATCTTACTTTCGACCTCCAGTGTGCTGCTCACTGGTGTGTGTGTGTGTGTGTGTGGCGCTGTACAAAAGCTCACGGTAAACTTCACCTGTAAGAACGACTGGTATTTCTATTCAAATCTTTGTGGAATTTCTAATTCATAATTATTATTATTACAAAATATAAATTATCAATAATAATTCATTAATAATATTATCGTGCAAATGATCTTCGCCCCATAATAATAATTGTGCAAAGATGTCAAATATTTACGATCGAGGGTGAGATAACTAGAGGTGGGAAAAGATAACTGGAGCTGGGGTGAGAGCTCAACACTGTGCATGATCTCAGGATCCTTGCCTTTGGCGTCACCCTGCTCTCTGTCCGGCACACTCAATATACCAAACGGGACTTGATGTCAAACAAGCGAGATGTTTGACTTAAACTCGACAAACATCGAATTATTAGACGCGTCCACAAAATGATAAGAAATGACAGGAATTGACATCCTTATTTGCATGTGGGGCTGTTGATTGCCGCTAGAATCAGCTTCCGTCCAATCTATTTAAGCGCTTGATTCGCCAGTGCTTTTTAAGGTGATCCAAAGTGAGAGGCGCAGGAACTTTAGTCGGGACTCACGTAAGTCAGGGTGCTCAGAGCACCCAGGTAGCAGACAATGACCAGACCCAAGACGAGCCATTCACGGCGGTTTCTAAGTAACTCTGCATACTCATCCAACACTGCTGTCACCACTCCTTCCAAGCCTGCAAACTAACGGTGAAAAAACAAAGGTATTTACCATGTTGTTATTCTTTATGTTGTACAAGGACCTTTACCTGCGCGTATTACAACAACCCAAAGGCGGCTTTCAAATTTACTGTCCTGTGAACGTTTTAAGGTTACTGCATTGTGTGTCCTCTGCCTTCAAGCCCAGACCGACCTAGTGGGAACAAATAGACGCGTCAAATTTTTCGGATTGTTTGGTGAGGGAAGTATGCAGTCTCAGCATACATCTGTAACTGATCTCTTGTGTGCCCCAGCCTTGAAATAAGGGGTGACGTGTAAAGCCAGACTACTGCAGAGTGGGTGATGATGGGGGGGGGGGGGGGGGCGGGGTTGGGGTGACTTGTCTGTTTGCTTACCGTGCTGTCTAAGCCCAGAGTAATCAGCATCACAAAAAATATTATGGCAAAAAACGTAGACCCCGGCATTGTGGCTATCGCCTCCGCGTAAGTGATGAAGAGAAGACTGGCTCCTGGTGAGATCAGGAAAGAAGCTGGTTATTGGCGATCAGAAAGACTTCTCTTATACATACTCATCTCCCATTTCTGTATTCAAAGCTAAACATTCAGGACTTTACAACAACAATAACAACTTGCTTGTTATACAGCGGGCTAGCGCTCAACAGTGGTGGTGTCTGACCCTGAGCCAGGAGGAAGGGCAAGGAGGGAGGTGACCATAAGCACAATCAAAAAGGAAGGTCTTCAGATGGGATTTGACAGTGGGGAGGAAGGGGGCAAGGTGGGGGTATTGGGGGAGAAGGTTCCAGAGCCCTAAAATGCAAGTCTCCCTCTGTCCCTCTCTCTTCCCTCTAGTTGCACAACTGTGAGCCAACTGGCTGCCTCGTCGCCCTACAAATGCCACTATGCCACTGAGCAATTATCTGTGAAGCGCTTTGAGACATTTTGATGTTTGTTACACGCGCTCTATCAAATGCAAGGGTTATTCTACTTGTTTGCTGGAACCGTCTTAGACCCAGGCACAGTCGAAGGAGTAGGTCTTTAGGCAGAATTTAAGAACTGAGGGAGGGAGTTCCGGAGATTAGGGCCATAGCAGCTGAAAGCTCGGTCACTGCTGGTGGAGCAGAACAGGTTGAGTGAGCCTATTTGCTGAGCGGAGGCAAAGGAGGTGAGGAGGGGGAATAGGAAAAGGTCACAGATACAGGAAGATGTTTGAACGTGAAGGTGTTATCAATGAGGGCAGAGTGTTGGAAGGCTACCTGCCCCCATTAAGTTATGAAAGGTTTGGAGATATAATGTGGAAATGCCATCATACCAGTGTCTTTGGCCACATCTTCCACCTTTTCATTCCTCATCTCTGCCATGTAGCCAAGGACAGTAAATATGACGCAGCCAGAGAACAAGCTGGTCATACAGTTGATAGCGCTGGTGACCAAGGCATCCCTAAAGCAAAGAGACAAGTCACACTGCGTTGACTGAAGACAATTTGGGCAATGAAGCGTTTAACAAAGACTCACTTTGAATTTTGCAACGTTTGTCTGTGACACATTATCGAATACTTCCGGTCATCGGGTGAGCTTCATACAGCCAGAGCTGGGTTATATCATCAGGGTTTGGGAGCCCTGTGATTTTGCACTTAAAATCAAGAACTACTTTCTCCTTGAATTCCCTCCGACACAAAACAAAACATAAATCTAGAAGTCTTTAGAGACTTGGCAAGATGGGGCTGGGGGTGTGGTGCGGTGGGTGGGTGGGTGGGAGCTTGGGCAGCTATAGGCCAACCTGGCTGCGTTGGTGGCACTCTTAAATTAAGAGTGTGCACTCCATTCTACACGCAGAGGAATTTCCTTGTGTAGGTGGCAGATTCGTGGGCAGAGTAGAGGGAGGTTTACCCTGAATGTGCCCTACCCTGCAATTTTCCTCGAGTGAGGTTGGTGACATTGATACCGAGTCCTGCAGTTTACAGAGTAAGCAAATCTGCATTGATTTCCCCCTCTTAACCAACACAAACGGCAAGTCAGCAAAAACAAACAAAACACCCATGTGTGTGTGTGTGTGCGCGTGTGTGTGTCGTCTCAAATGGCGTTAACTCTAAAAAAAAGCGGGAGTTTTTTTTCCCCCCCAAAAAACATGGATAAATAATTCACATTAATTTTTCTTTTTACACACTGACTTGTAGAAGTTATTGTTAAACTTGTTGTAGCTGGCGAACGCCAGGAGCACACCAAACCCCGGTCCGAGCGAAAAAAAGACCTGAGCTGCTGCGTCGACCCACACCTGCAAACCGAGAGATGAGACGTTATTTCCCGAAACCCTCCCAACGATGCTGATGCAACAACAACAACAGCAACTTGCATTTAGACAGTTGGTGATAGCGATCCACTTTAGGGTATATTCTATGAAGCACTTTGAGACGTCTCAACGACATGCGAGATAAGGTTCTATCTCAAATCCAAGGATTATTGTTATTACTTATGATGGGGGTGGGGGGGGGTGGGGTGGGATGTGATTCCACATTGCGTACAAAATTTGGCAAATTCTTCAACACGTTTCCACCCCTTTGCAAAAACGTTTCTTTTTTCAGAGATGCAGGAAACCGACCTCAAAGTCAAGACCGATTTCGACAATTTGCCAAACCCTGGGAAAGTCTTAAAAATGCTGCACAAATAAAGTAACTCTAGACCCAGCTGGACTTTCTCCGCATCTGCGGAGACAGACAGGAAAACAAACAATTTCTTCAAAAAAAAAAAACCCATGGTATCACAAGTTCTGTTCAAAAAAAAAAGCGACGGCAAACCTTGCACTATCATCTCTTGCTTCTGCAAAGAATTTCTAGCTGATTAGTGATACTCGTGGACTCTAGTGACAGTGGCTTCCTTATTCCAGCATTGATGCAAAGACCGCAAAGCTGACGGGAAAGGTACTATTATACACGTAAATTGTTGGTGCTGTTCAGTGCTTTGAAGTGCCGAAGCAATGCGGGACTAGATCACGAGACTGCTTCAGACGAAGAAGGCCTTTTGGCCTATTTGATCTCATCCCTCCAGAATACCCACTCAACAACAACAACATGCATTTATATAGTGCCCTTCAGCACTTTACAGTCTACACAATACAGCATGAAACAGGATGATGTTACGCCCCAGTAGAAGAGACGCATTACTTAAGATTAAACTTGACTTGATCTTTGCAATGTCTATCAATCTACCTTCATCCGGAGTTGGTGTTTGATTTCTACGATTGTATATTTTTACTGTATTATGTGTCGCTAGAACACGTGGCAGGTATAAGCGCTGAACTTTTTTTTAACTTGTCCAGGTAGACATTAAAAGATCCAGTTGCACTACTCTTTTTTAAAAAAAAAGAGTTTGTCTTGGTGTCCTGGCCAGCAATCCACCAGATCACTCGCTTCACAGCTGTTTGTGAGATGTTGCTGTGCACAAATTGACTGCCGCGCTCGCCTATGAAATGCACAGTCACTTTAAAGTGTTTTGAGACGTCTCGACCACGTGATGAAGCATTTTACCGAATGCAAGGCTTATTCTCGGTACTATTTCCTTCCTCATGGGATAACAACTCCGTCTTCTTGTGGCAGCTCATAATAATAATAATAATAATAATAATCCTTGCATTTGATATAGCGCTTTTCACGTTGGGAGGACGTCCCAAAGCGCTTCACAGAACACACTGTAAAGTGAATTGACTGTATATTTGTGGGCGAACGCGGCAGCCAATTGCGCACAGCAATGTCCCACAAACAGTCGTAGATTGAAAATGACCAATTTATTATTGTTTTGTTTTTTGAAGGGATTATTATTAGGCGTGTGGAGTAAGGAAACTTGCCCAAGGTTTCGCCCTGACCTGCCTGGAAATGAACTCAGGTCTCTCGCTTGCAAAGCGAGTGCTCTAACCACTGAGCTACAGGACTCCACATGTTGTTCCCCAGAATATGGTCAATTGAAAAGCAATACCCTGCAAACGTTGGCTTCAGGAGAGGTAACATTCAGTCTGCGAGCCTATGAAAAAGTGTGCCTGGCCAAGTCAATACTGTATTTGCTTTCTTTTATCCTCCAAACACAAGCTGGCTAAAGTAATAACAATGTGTCCTGTTTAATTAAAGGGTAGAGTAAACCTTCGATGAAAGCACCACGGCAGGATTTTAATGCGTTTCCAGTAACACAGGGCGCAAACAATTTTGTGGTCACATTTTCAGTTCCTGTTTGGATTTCTGTCTCAGTATGAGTGCTTTCATCATAAAGAGGACCTCCTGGCAATTAAGGTAATAAATAATAATTAACAATAATCCTCAGATTTGATATCACGTCTTACCCCTCTCGAAGTGCTTCACAGATAATTGCTGTGAAGTGTAGCGAGTGTGTATTTGTAATTGAACGAGGCAGCCAATTTGCTTCCCACTAAGGTTCCTCAAACAACTATGAAATTAATGAACTCTTTTATCCTGATGGGACTGTCGGCCAGGACACCGGGAGAAACTCTCTCCTCTTTTCGAATAGCGCTGCAGGATCCTTAACGTCTGCTTGAACAGTTAGACTGGAACTCAGTTTAACGTCTCATCCTAAGGACGGCCAATGCAGATGTGCAATACCGGCAATCTATTGCAGTGCTCTGCAAAATTAGCGTCAAACATCTTTTAGGCCGGCTTCAACACCCTTCCATTGAACCACACGGGCTTCAACCACTGCTGCGGCTGTGTAAAAGGAGGTACGTTGGTCTAACCTAGTGAGCCAGTGGTGCGGGAGCTAGAGGCAATATGTTTCTGGTGTTTTACCCACCTGCCTGGTTAGAAGTTTACTCCACTCGGGCTTAATGTAGAAGAGAATCCCTCGCCAGGCTCCAGGCAGCGTAGCTCCGCGGATCAAGAGAATAACCAGCACCACGTAAGGGAAAGTAGCTGTCACCCTCACCACCTGCAGACCCGAAAAATACAGAGCAAATTTGTCTTTGCTGTAAAACAATACAAAACTCTTTTATATATTTTGTGTGCTCCACAAGTACTTAGACCCAACATTTGCTGCTAGTCTTTAAGTCTTCGTGGAGAATCATTTATATCTAATATATATATATTTATTACAATATATATATATTTATTATATTATATATAATGATCCTTGCATTTAATATAGTGCCTTAATATATCATGTCATTGAGATGTCTCAAAGCACTTCTCAGAATGTATTGTAAAGTAGATTGACTGTGTATTTTGTGGGCGAAACACGGCAGCCAATTGCGCACAACGACGTCCCACAATTTACATTTGTAAAGGATACCGGGGGGAACTCTCTTCTATTCAACATAGATTCAACAGCCTCCCGTTGCTCCCAGTGTAGATCCACAATGTGAGTCGGAGGATTCCTGGCACTTTACTCCAGCTAGTGTCCCTATCTACAGGATAGGAGGATAAAGTTCAGGGGAAAGAACTCTCTCTTTGTTGACAATCAGATATTTCGTCCGCTGAAGGTCAAAGAACAAGTAAGCATGAAGGGAATTTGGGGCAGTTTAATAGTTAGTTGATGCAAACTTTTTTTTACTGTCTCGACGTCCCAACAAATTTATCAGCTGAATTAATATGCTTAACGCTCAGCTTGGCTTTCTACCGAAGATTGCTAAATAAGTTAAGTTTCCGCCCGGGAATCGAATCCCGGGAATCGAATCTGGGTCCTCTTGCTTGCGAGGCAAGCTTGCTAACGACCACGCTACAGGTGGGCTGTCACAGTTTGGGCTGTCCCATTTCACAGCCGGCTTTGCCTTCATCCACAAAAGTCACCGCACTTTACAGTATATCCTGTGAAGCGCTTTGGGATGTCCTCCTAACATGAAAGGCCAGGGTTGGTAATGGCAAACGTAAGGATTATTATTTGGGAACTGAGCTGTCTGGTGGGGTGGGGTGTGTGTGTGTGTAGGTAGGTAGGGTGTAGGCGATGTGAGGAGCGGAGTGGGTTTGTTCTGAGCAGTGATCGCAGGCAGTATCTGCAGAAGTGCTTTTCTTCCTCTCACTCGGCTGAACAAAACTAATGACTTGCTGGAATGGATGTTCTACTTTGTGGGCTCGTTGGTGCTTAGGGTTGCCATGTGTGCAAATCCTGCAGGAGACTCAGTTGTAAGGATTCAAAATTAAAGGCCACATGCTAAGCGTGCGAAACGCTGCAAAAGTAAATTAGCACAGCCAGATGCTCATAGCTTTAATGTTCAAACAGCAACAAGAACAATTTGTGTTTGCGCAACCCCTGTGCCCAATTGTTTGACTAGATTTAATGTAAGTGTCAGCCCGGCTCAATTGGTAGCACTATCCCCTCTGATTCAGCTCATCCTTGACTGTCCAGCGCTTTGGGATGTCCGCCTGACATGAAAGGCACTACACAAATATAATTTGTCGTTGTGGTTGTATCCTGTGAAGCAATTAAGAGACGTCCTCCCAGGCACTGTACCAAATGCAAAGGTTATAACTGCTACCCAGACTTTACTGGCAATCTTCCGGCTGATCGATAGGAACCTGCTGTTAGAATCATGGAATTATACAGCGCAGAAGGCCATTCGGCCCATCGTGTCTGCGCCGGCTGTTTGAAAAGAGCTTTTCCAAACCAATCCCACTCCCCCACGCTCTCCCCTATGGAGCTGTGTCAGGCACACACCGTGCCCTGCTGTACAGGTCCACCTACCTTTCCAGAGGTCTTCACGCCTTTCCAAATGCTGAAGTAGACCACCGTGAAGATAAACAAGAGGCAGAGCGCGAGCTGCCAGCTGACTCCGCCAAGGTCTCCGAGACCACTCGATCGATGGACCTGAAGAACTTTGCGACTGCGGCAGAGAGAGAGAGAGACAAAACAACGCCACACATTACAACGCCGTTTGCGAGTAGGAAACCGAAGCGCCTTGAGATGCCTCGACGGCGAGATGAGGCGCTACATCAAATTACAATCCGAGCTTGAAAGAAATGCAATTTTTAAAAAATAAAAACTTTTTTCTTAAATCTTCGCCCCTCCCTTCCGTCTTTTTTCGTTCTTTGCGAATGGCGTCGAGCAGCTGGATAGGGAGGTCAGGTTGACATCTCTCCGACTCTTTCCCAGTTGTCATTCTCTGAGCAGCAGCCAGATACAAACACGCTAATAGACCTTAAACACGCTTGTGTGTGTTTGTTTATTCGGTTACGAAATCGAGAACTTGAATCTACGTTTCAGCGAAACAAGGACAATAATAACAATAACATTTATTATTATTATTATTGAGTGGAAAGAGAAAGGGGGCGAATGGGTAGAACGCGGAACCGATCGGAGACGGGTTGATACCTGCATTGGGTATCAGGTTCCATGTCAAGCCTTTTGAGAGAAAAGGTATTGAGTAATAACACGATAAAGGTTACAGTGATTACGCACCACAGGATATTATTGCAGTGGCTACTGCCAAGGTTCTTTTTCTACACAGCTAATCGTTTGAAGGCAAAAAAAAAATCTTAGAAATTGGTCCCTTTGGGATTTACAATTTTCCTGTTAAAAACTCTGTAGGAATTTTGGACAGAGCATCTGAACGAAACGTTGACCCTAAAGCTCTAGGCAGTTGCGAGTGTTGTGTCTTGGGTTTCATAAGAGGTTGGTGTTTAATAAGGATGAGCTGGGCTTGGATCATGAGAGCAACATTAAATTTAGATTTAATATCCCCCCACAAAAAATCCTTGAGAGGGACTGGAGATTAGAAGACATTTTCCTGCACAGTAATGAATCTTGATGTTGTTTCAACTGTGGAGTCCTGTAGCTCAGTGGTTGGAGCACTCGCTTTGCAAGCGAGAGACCTGGGTTTGATTCCCGGTAGGGTGAAACCTTGGGCAAGTTTCCTCACTCCACACGGCTGATAATAATCCCTCAAAAAAAACAATAATAATAATTTCAATCCACGACTGTTTGTGGGGCGCTGGTGTGCGCAATTCGCTGCCGCATTTCGCCCACAAATATACGGTCAATTCACTTTACAGTCTATTCTGTGAAGCGCTTTGAGACATCGAGAAGACGTGAAAAGCGCTTTATTAAATGCAAGGATATTATTATTATTATCAACTCTTCCAAAAAAGGGTAAGGATCTCGGTAAGGATTTGAGAACAGCGTTGGAGGGTTTTGGTACAGGCGTGAAAGGCGCTTACAATAAATGCAAATTGTTGTTGCGTGAATAGAAGGAAGGAGGTTGGGTTTGAAGAGTGAGACATTGTCGGGGTTGGAAGGAATATTACGAGGTTCCTATTCAGGCAGAGGCTTGACCTGGGATATAGATCGGCCAAAGGCTGTATCCACTTACATGCACTTACGTAAAAAATTCTTCTGCCGGAGATGTGGAGCTCTTTGTCCAGGTCGTATTTTTCTTGTGGAAATAGTTGGTGCAGTTCAGAGTGTTCCACCCGTTGTTACACCTGGCCCAGGGGAGCTCAGTGGTAAATGAGAAGTAGAGGTAGTAGACAGCCCAGGACATGATCGTGTTGTAGTAAAAGGCGACGAATAGAGAGATTATACAGATTGCGTACCCAATCCCTGCGGGAAAACAAAAGAGGCGTGTTTCTGTCATGTTCTCACGTTGATCCGGGCGTTCCGAGACGCTAAGGGCGCTATATATACGCTAGTTGTTGTTGTTATTATTGATTCTTAGCATCGTCCCTACTCTGGTACTGTCAGTCGATTTCGTTTTCATCCTCAGCGCAAGCTTACGGCTGAGGAAACCCCCACAGGGTAAATAAGAAATAGAATTAAGCCTCGCTTTTTTTTCTCAGAGAACAAGAAGAGTTAGTTGTAAAATGGGGGCAATTTCAGGACAGGCACCCAACACCAAGCAACAGCAAATTACATTTGTGAAGTGTTTTTCACGACGAGAGGATGTCCCGAGGTGCTGGACAGTCAGGGATTCGGACCCGAGCTGGGGTTTGGGATAAGGAGGAGGGGTGGGGGGGTGGTGGCAGGGAGGGTGGAGGGGTAGGAGCATGACCTAAGGTGCGGTCGAAGAGTAAGGCAAGGAGGAAGTATCTTTTTTTTAAAAAAATAAGCTTGATGCAGTGATGGTGAGGGTGGTAGAGTGCGCATTCTGCAAGGATGAGATCAAACGGGCTAAAAGGGCCCTCTTGATCCGATCTGATCTGTGGTCTTTGCTGTAAGCATTTAAAATTGTTCCATTTGTGGAAGTGAATGAACAGGAACGAGGTTACAAAGCACAGCCTACATTTCACTAAATCCATTAGTGCTAAAGACTCTTCTGGGACCATGTAGAGGACTTGTTCACTGCATTATAATTCATGGTCAAAGCAAAGCCAGAGATGTTTCTGACGGTTCATGGTGTGAAATGCAATTATCACTGCACATCAGGAAGACCTCAGCACTGATTCCCTTATCTGCGTTAGCTGAGTTAAGTGATCTGAGCTGGGTAACAATGACGCTGCTACAACTGGTGACTGGTGTTAGTGGGAACATAGGAACAGGCCATTCAGCCCCTCAAGCTTGTTCCGCCATTCCATTAGATCATGGCTGATCTGTGCCTCAACGCCATTCACCCTCTTTTGCTCCATATCCCTCTATCTATCTGGGGATAGGGAAAATTAATCCATCTCCTCCAAGTTATTCAATTTTGTTTCTTCCCTATTTTCTACCGCACGTCACCTGTTTGATGCTTGTTCCAATGCACAACACTAAGAATTGGGTGTTTGATTTTCAGATGTTTTTACACTACAACCTTCTGCAGCTAGATCATAGCAATTCTCTTTTTTTCCCCCCCCCCCTCTTAATTGGCTTTTATGGCTGAAAATCGTCAGAGAATTACCGCTTATTTGATGACTACAATACAAACTGAGCGTGGTGAAGGCGATATGAGAAATAACCTTACCTTTGAAAATTGGGCATATTTTCCTCCAGATTGAAATTGCTCCATTTCTGTGGTACTGCCCGATAGCCAACTCCATATAAAACAGAGGTATCCCACCAAACACTGCCATCAGGAGATAGGGGATAAGGAAAGCACCTGCGATTTAACAAATTGATCAATAAGTAAAAATGCAGAAAGGAATAACACAAACCAACAGGAAAAGACTATAATCACCACAAGATGACAAGGAATGAAGAGTTAGATCCATTTGATCATAATTATTATTTTAATTGTCATAATGATCAATCATTTCATCCTGTGTTTCCACAATACAATATCCTACCCATATGGAGGTGGCGGGAAAGCTGGGTGGGGTGGGGTGGTGGGTGGGGAGTCGGGGAAGGAATAGGATAAGTGGAGGCTCCTGGGCTGTACAGTAAAACCCACATAAATCATATCAATCAGGACCATCATATTTAATATGACTTACCATCATATTTAATATGACTTAATATGACTTATATATGACTTATATTAAAGTCATATTTAATATGACTTACGTGAAATCTGAGTTACAGGCAAAGTGCATAAATTGTATAAAATCGGATTTATTTAATAATCTACATTGTGTGCACGTAATTCAATGCATCCAGTAAGTGGATGTGCTCTGACAGGTTTCCTGGGATTCATTGACTCTTGAAAAGTCGCCGAATGCGCACTTACTGGGAAGCGTTGGAATCACATTGAATCGCGGAAAATCAAGTTCTTCTGCGCCTGCAGGCGCTGAATGGGGAATAGGGTAGAGGCATGACGAGTTAGGAGATGATTTGCTTATAAAATATGACCCAGTGCAAAAAAATCTAAGTGGTTTTGATAGAAAACTGAATGGGACTCGGGTGTACGTACGAGTCTTAGGCGATTATATCATTTATAAAGACTTTTGTGCGTTTTACTGTATAAACATTGGCATAGGCTAGGTTGAGCAACCGGTTTCAGATATATATAATATATATATATAGGTGCAATGCAATCTACATGATTCTATGTGCTGTCCATCGATAACAGGATTGGATTTGTGTTGGCTCAGTCTCTCTCTGTGGTGTGTTCAACTCCAATATTAAATTCTTACGTTGTAACCTCAATCCCGACTGATACTGTAGCTTGTCTCATCTCACCTAAATGGAACCGACTGCTGGATGGAGCGCTTTGCAAAAGCATGAACCTGCTTCTATCCTACAGGGGTGAAAGACCAACAAGGCAACAAGCATCGCTTGCCAAAGTTCACCTTTGATTTTCCAATTACCAGGCAGTGTTCAAGTCAACCCTAAGTCCAGGCTTCAAAGCATTCTCTATTTCAGCTTCTGTTTAAACTGAGTTATCTAATGGAAAGGTCGAGACCCACAGCTCCGGACGTCACTGAGACTCCGAGAGAAAACTGAAAGACAATTTCACGCTGTCAGTTTGTCAGTGGAGTTAGAAATGTGATGAGAAATGTAGTCAAGCTACGAACATGGCTTTATTGAGCTGTTTATCAGGTTTAGGTGCAGGTGCTTTCAAAGGTTTCTCACTGTAATACTCATTCAAAATACAAGTTCTTTTTGGAAGCAGTGTCTAACATGAGTGCATTGAAAACACTGGAGGGGAAAAAAATTGCAAAGTTACTTTGACTTTTTTAATATATATATATATAGAGAGAGAGAGAGAGAGAGTTTGCATTTGACCCATTGATACTAACTGATCTGATCAAAATGGCAGCATTCCTATTTAATAGAAGAAATACAGATTACAGCAGCCTTGAGGAATGGATTAATGCAGATGGATCTACAACAACAACAAATTACATTTAGATAGCACCTTTCACATCGGGAGGATGTCCCAAGGTGCTGGATATTCGCTTTATTTTAACTTGAGCCATAGATATTCAAACATGCGATTTACAAGCTACATTCACCATGGTCACATTTCCCTCAATACAATAGCGTGAACTCGGGGTAGAGATTTCAATGTATTGTTAAGTTCACTGGGTTTACATTGGCCATTGTATACCTGCATTGCTTCAGGGAGGGATTTGGGCATAAAGCCACAACCACCCAATCCATAGGAGAGTTCCAAGGCACCACATCCCCCTGCCAGCCCCATTAAACACCATAAAATAACCTGGAACATTAATGTTAACCCTGAACATTCAGAGCATAACTTTCCCTTCATAGATTAAACCTATTCTTCGCTTAACCTTCGCAACAATAGGATAGGGAAACATTCAAATATGTCACATTTCCAGTCAATATTTAGAACTTCTTTATTGGACTAATGGGTCTGAATGTAATATCCTCAGACTCAAGAAAGTCCATTTCGGCCCCAGGAATGTTTTTCTATTCATGAAAGCGGATGCTTTCAATGGCCATGTTCACAAATGAATCCAATTAACAGTGGGGCCCTCAACACGGAAATATATTATGTTTCACTTTTGACAGCAAGAAAGTTAAATAATCCTTGCCAGTTTATAGGGAAGGGTGCATAGGCAGCAATCAAATCCTGAGGATATCCTTTCTCAATTCTCCTGCAATTGCTTAGGTCTCGAGCATTTACGCCAACACCTTGGCTCTCGCCAACCTGGATCTAATTCCCTCGTGAATTAGATAAGCAGGTGAAATACTTTAGAGATAGTTTGATGATACAAGTCACAAGTTCCACAGAAATGTCCCTGTATCTGGAATGGAATGTGCGCTCTCTCCCTTGAGGGATGTAATAATAATAATAATAACCTAGCATTTTGATATAGTGCCTTATCACGTCTTCGAGACGTCTCAAAGCACTTCACAGGACATACTGTAAAATGTACCTTGCTTATCTAATTCAAGAGGGTATCAGATGCAGGTTGGCGGGAGCCAAAGCTTGGAGACCCCAGATTGTGTGTTGGGGGTAACTGCTGAGGACCAAAGCAATTGCATGGGTGAAAGGATATCCTTCAGGTTTTGACTGCTGCCTCGGCACCCTTCTCTACAGACTGTGCTGTGTGTGCTTGTTGCAATATATACTGCTGTGTGTGTATACATGCTACAGTAAAGTGGTGATATCAGCGAATTTGCAACACTTCAGTAAAAGTTATGAAACCATTTACAGTGGTTAGCATAACTCCGTGGAGCTGTCATTGCTGTCACTGTTTGTGGTGAACGAGCCTTTGTGAAGTGTCACTGCAGTCAGACCAAGTGTTGTAAACGCTGTAAAGCACAAGTAATCTCTAACTCCAGGTGTCCACGGAAGCCTCGCTTGTATCAACATTTGACCTATCAGTGACTCACCTCCTCCGTTTTGATAACAGATGTACGGAAAGCGCCACACGTTGCCCAGGTCGACGGCGTAGCCTATGACGGAGAACAGAAAGTCTGCTTTCTTGCCCCAGTTCTCTCGGGGCAGCTGGAGTCCACAGGTGCCTGAAGGGAGGGGGCGCTGCAATTCGTTGGCATCTCCATTGCTGTTGCAGGCGACGGGACTCTGGACGGCCGAGCAACTATTAGAGAAGTGGACGGATTCCTCTTTCTCCCAGAGGCTGGAGGTCACTTTGCCCCCGCTCGCTTCCGAGGCTTTGTGGGACGAATCGGGGCTTCTGCACAGAACCCCGTTCTCTTTGTAATCCTCGTCATCCTTGAAGGGCTCTATCTCCTCCTCCGAGTATAGTGGAGAGATCTCGCTTTTTAAGGGAGGGATCACCTCCATTGCCACTGCTTTACGGGGCCGATGTCCATTTGTAGCCAGAACTATCGTGGGGGGGTGGGGTGGGACACTGGGAACCAGTTAACAAGCTGAAGGCTGTCCTCACTTTTGCTCCTGCTCTGAACGTACGCACCTGCAGATCACACAGCGAAAAACAGAAAGTACACCAATTTTAACATGAGCAAATGCAAGCAATACATTTCTTATTGAGCTTCCGAAGCACCATTCATCCGTACGTCTGTCCAGAGATAAGGCAGGTGAAGATAAAGAGGAATTGGCACAGTTTCCTCAATTCCCTTCTTAAAAAAACACTTTGTAAATATTATTGCCGCTCAGCAAAGCCTTACGTGTCCTGTCTTGCTTAGTGTCACTTTCACTGGGGAACAAAAGGAACCAAGATTGTTTTCAAAGTTTTTTGGGACTTGGAAATATTTTTATGGCAGCTGGGAGGGTGGGGGGTTGGATGGTGGGGGATGGGGTAAATAGGAGGAGGTATGTGACCTGCTTTGACTTGTCAGTCTTTTTCCTTTTGTTAAAATATTTTTAGAATGCTTTATCTATTCATTTTCCTCGCTATCTTATGACATATCATCATCTCAAAGCGCTTCACAGAATATACTGTAAAGTGAATTGACTTGTCTATTTTGTGGGCAAAACGTGGCAGCCAATTGCACGCAGCAGCGTTCACAAATAGTCGTGGATTTATTTATTTGTTTCGTTTTTGAAGGGATTATTACCCCCGGAAAAGCAATCCTCCAATCGACTAACAACCAGTTTCCGTATTACCGCTAGGTAAATAGAAGAGTGTGGAGTGAGGAAACTTGCCTAATGTTTCGCCCTGCCCAGGAATCATACCCAGGTCCTCTTGCTTGTGAAGCGATGGCTTTAACCACTAAAGTACAGGACTCCATAGTATAAGTAACATTATATCGTTCAGACTCATGATGATTTGGGAGTGAGAACGATTTACTAAAAAACTCAACATTTACAATATATATTTTGTTAAGCGCTTTGAGACGTCTCAACGACGTGGTAAGACGCTATATCAAATGGAAGGGTTATTATCATTGATTACAATATGAAATACTTCAATGAGACATTTCCATGTTGTAGATTGCTCCCTTTAATTTCCTATTTTCCTTTTTGTTAACTTTAACCTGCGCACAACCCTTTCTTTTGAACTATTTGGGTTCAGCCTTTAAGCTAGTTTGGATTTCCTTATTTAGTCAATTTAGTCCCAAGTTTGCGATGTTTATTTTTTTTCTCCCTCTCTCAGATATATTTTCTTATCTGTAAAAATGCTCGTTTTTTTTGTACGAAACAAAAATTTCTTTGTGTATTTTCCAGTTCTTCATCCCATTTAATCCTCTCTTAGAAACTTGTGCTGCCAGAGACATTCACTGTAATGTTATGTTTGGCTTCAACCTTGAGTACAATGTTCAACGATTCAATGATCAATGTTCAATGATCACCAGGGTTCAAATGCTCGCCAAATTTCAGGCTGACTCCTTGATTTGACAGTCATTTTTTTAATTTAATGGTGGCAATCAAAACTGTGGGAGGCAGAAATTGGGTGGCAATATTTTGGGATTTCTAACCATGCTATTCAGACCCCGACCAAATTGTATATGGGAAAATTTGCAGGACTTTCCACAAAATAGACAGTCAATTGACTTTACAGCAAATTCTGTGAAGGGCTTTGAGACATCTCAATGACTTGATAAGGTGCTATATCAAATGTTAATAAATATTATTAATAAATCTGTTCACAGAATAAAATATGCAGCCTTACCTCTTAGCAAAATGAGGTGAACTTCACAAACAGTCGGGAGCACCTTTGAATTGCAGCATGCAGCAGAAGCCAATCAACTGCAAATCGCTTTACCACTTTAGAGAGAGAATGAGAGAGAGAGAGAAAAAAAATTGAATTATATGTGTCCGCCTACTTCTTTCACCGCTACCCATTTGACTGAGCTATTTGAATTCCAGCCCAAATTTTGCATGCATGCTGAATTGCATGATATTTTGACACACCCTCTCTCTCCCTCCTCCCTTACAAAGGACGTCACCTTCAACATCCCATCCAAAACTTGAACAACGTTCGTAAGCTTGTTCCTGAATCTTGCCAGTGCATCTCAGTCCAATTCCCCCATTCCCTCCCTCTATCCGCCATGCAATAACTTTCGGAATGGGACAGGACAACTGTTTGGTGTGGGGACACCAGCTGCTTTAAGCCCTTGCTCTCCCCCTCCGTAAACTTTTTCCAATCCTCTTCCAACGTTCGTACTTTACTGAGAGCCCCTGTCAGCAAATCAGGGGCTGAAGAAGCTTTTATCTCGCAAGAAGCAATCAGCAGGACCACATAGGAGGAGTACTGTAGCTCAGTGGTTAGAGCACTCACCTTGCAAGCGAGGGACCTGGGTTCGATTCCCGGCAGGGCGAAACCTTGGGCCAATTGCCTTACTCCACAACGCCTGATAATAATTTTCAAGAAAAAAAACAATAATAAAATTGGTCACTTCTATCCACGACTGTTTGTGGGACACTGCTGTGTTTCGCCCACAAATATACAGTCAATTTACTTTACAGTATTTGTTGTGAAGCACTTTGAGACGTCTAGAAGACATGAAAAGCACAATATCAAATGTAAGGATTATTCTTATAGTAACAGCTGGATTGAGTAATAATTTTGACTCTCTCCTTGATTTTGCAATAATATCTTTTTTTTCAAAAAAAAACCCTGTGGCACCCATTTGTTGAAAGGTAGTTCAAAACGAACAGTTAGATACGGACAACAGAAACTTCTCCCTGTTATCTGTTCCCCTCCCAAATAAAATTGGTCATGACTGTTAGTGTGTGCAAATCGACTGTCGCACTCGCCTACAAAATAGACAGTCACTACGCTTCACAGTAAATCCAGTGAAGCGCCTTCTCCTGACGCGAAAGGTGCGATATCAAACCCAAGGATGATTATTCTTCTTATTATAATCAGACAAAGCATGCCTTAAGCACATAGGGTCCCCAAACAAAGCCAATACAGCATTGGGAATATGCTGCATTGCCTTAATAATATTCCTCGTGTTTGAGGCACAGCTCCTTGTATCACGTTGTCGAGACGTCTCAAAGCGCTTCGCAGAATACACTGTAAAGCGAATCGACTGCGTATTCTGAGTGCGAAACGCGGCAGCCAATTGCGCACAGCGGCGTCCCCACAAAACAGTGGTGGATTGAAGTGACGGAATTATTATTAGTATTACTATTAAAGGAATTAATACTCCCCAACCCCCATCCCAGAAAAGCAATCCCTGGCCAATCCACTAACAGCTGGGTTCCAACTTACTGCTCGGTAAACAGAGACTTGTGGACTGAGTTAACACCAGTCGTTAGGAAATACTAAGTAAAACAAATGAAAAACTCACGGGGATTAGTCGATACGAGTTATTTACATCTGAGGCGTTATCGGTGTTGAAGGCGCAAAGTATCAGGGCGTCAACACACACTTAAGCTCCGGATTTTCCTGAACTCTTGTCGAGTCCAAATCCAGTCTGGTTAGCAGAGGTGGGAATCAGAGGAATAGTCTCCTTAGTGTGTGTGTGTGTGTGTGTGAGGGTGGGAGATAAATAGAGATAGAGAGAGAAAGCAAGCAAACAGGCTGATCAGATCAGAAATAAAAATGTACCCTTTTTTCTTGCAAACAAAACAAAACATTGCAAATCTTTTCTTTCAAAGTGACCTTCCCCCCCCCTCTCTCTCTCTCTCTCTCTTTCTCACACACACACACTCTCTCTCTCTATCTATCTCTCTCCTTAAGAAAGTTAAGATTTCTTCCCACCCAAAGAGTTCTCAACGTTGACTTTTACCTTCCAATTGCCAATCAAATGCACTTACCTGCAATCCAATTCTCCAACGTATATACACACCTACACACCCACACAATATGTATATATATATATCATGTAAATATAGATGCATTTATCGATTTGCCTGAGATTTTACACTCACCTTACACGCAGTTTAAAGGTACTGGAACAAAACACACCATCATCACAGCGTTGCAACGTACAAAAGACACTGCTCTCTGGTCGATTGCAGCAGAAATGTAACTCCCCTCATTTGGAATTAAAGGCAATTCAGCTTCTTTGAGGGGGGGACAGGTTTTTTAACGAAAGCACAGTCTCTCTCTCTCTCTCACACACCACACTCACGTCTTGGTTCTGCACACAGTGCAAACGCTCCCTTTCCTGTTGCTCTTTAAAGAGACCTTCCTAAGTGTCATCTGCATCACCATATAAAAAAAATAGGTTTGACCATGTCAGTGTTATTTCCAAACACACACACACACACACACACAAGACTCTCTCTCCTCTCCTCCACCTTCTCTTTCTCTCTCTTTTGTCTGGTTGCAAAACAAGCCACTTGTTCAGAACTCTTTAAACTCTCTCCTTTCTTTCTCTCTTTCTTTCTTTTCTCTCTGTCTCTCTGTGCACACACACAAAAAAAAGGCTCAGCAAAGCCTCAATGAATCCACTCACCTCCTCTCTGCTGAAAGGCAATGCAAAAAAAAAACACACACAGTACCTGTTAAGTAAAGGGGGTTCAATCCTGCAAGAGAGGGGTTTAAACTGTGGTGCAGATCCCACTGCTCTACACATCTCTCTGTAGGGGTAGGGGGGTTGGATTGGGGTTGGGTTTGAGGGGGTAGAAAGAGGGAGGGGAGAATAACATGAGCAATTGAACCTATTTTAGAGCTTTTTGTAGAAACGAGCTGTCTCACATGATTTGATTTTCAGATAATCTGGGGCTGACACAATCTCCTCCCCCACCCACCCTTTGCTTATTATATTAATGCCATCTTATTCATGTCACATTAAACTGGAGAGAAAAGAGATTACACTTAAGACACCCACTACCACCCCCCTCCCCTCTCCTCCCCTCCCCTGGCTGTGGGAGAAAAGAGATTATTCATTTTTATTTAGTTTTAAGTTTTTTAAAAAAAATTTAGGGGGGAAAGAGGGATTTGAAGAGGGGTACAAAGGGTCCCACTTTTTTTTTGGGTGGGGGTTGTTCAATGACAGTCACAAAAGGGGTTTAGATTGCATTCCAGTTAGGGTATACCAGCCCAAAAGAGTTCAGATTGTAGTTGTTTTTGTTCCTGTTCTGGCCATTCACACACTGACTGAGTTGAGTGAGTGATTGAGTGCTGTAATCTAAGGACGGTTGAAGGTTACAATAAACTGTACAAAGTCCAGTGGATTGCATTGGGGGACTGACCCAACTGATTAATGCTAACCTTGCAGACATAAAAAGGTGGAGAAAGCTTAATTGCCGTGCGCAATTGGCTGCTGCGTTTCGCCTGCAAAGTACAGTCAATTCACTTACAACGTATATCTCGTGAAGCGCTTCGAAACCTCTTAACGATGTGATAAGGCGTCATATCAAGTGCAAGGATTATTACTATTATATTCATTCTTACACACAAAAATGCATGTGTGCATTATGCGCCCCCCAAAACAGTCCAAATTCCTCTTGAAGGGGTGTCCTTTTTAATGCACAAATAATAGATTGTATTTATTATCTACTGTAATAAATGGATTTTTATATTTGCGATGAATTGGGAACAAAGGCAGACTTGCATTACTTTCTTTTTAAATGTTCAGTTGTACTGAACGCGCCAACCAGTCGGCAGATGGGAATTCACTTCACGTATAAATTCTAGCTTGGTTTATAGCTTAAGTATGCGTTTGCAGATTGCAATGGCGAAGAGAGTTTTACTTTTAAAAAATCTTTGGAGGATAAAATAAAGCGTGTGTGTGTGTGTGTGTGTGTGTGTGTTTGTTTGTGCAGCGCCTTGGGACGTCCTCCTGACGCAAATGTAATGTGTTGTTGTTGTTGTTGGAGGCATTTCACTGCACATAATCAAACGATAGCTTGGTTCACAGCTAAGTTACGCAAAATAAACGTTACTTTAAAAGCATGCAGAAGGGAGGAGGGGTGGTGGGGTGGGGGGGGGTTAGAAGATAAAATAAAGTAAGTGTGTGTGTGTGAGTGAGTGAGTGTGTGTGTTCGTGACCAGTCTATGGGAACATCGCCAATGACAGCTTCAGGTGCTATCAAACACCGGTTTCCAACAGGTCGTTTTCTGTGCTACTGGCGCCACCCTTCAGGCAATAGGGTGCCATTGCAAGCAATCGGGTGCGCGCCTCTTTTTTTTTAGGAAACTGCTTTATAGCAATGTTTTCTTCGCTGTTGAATGAACGAAGATTACGGGGAAAGAGTGGGGGAGTGGGGACTAGACTAGTCGGATAGCTGTAGCTCAGTGGTTAGAGCACTCGCTTTGCGAGCGAGAGACCCGAGTTCAATTCCAGGCAGAGGGCGAAACCTTGGGCAAGTTTCCTTACTGCACACAGAGCCTAATAATAATCCCTCCAAAAACCCCAAAACAATAATAAATTGGTCATTTTCAATCTACGACTGTTTGTGGGACATTGCTGTGCGCAATTGGCTGCCGCGTTTGCCCACAAATATACAGTCAATTCACTTTACAGTGTGTTCTGTGAAGCGCTTTGGGACGTCCTCCCGACGTGAAAAGCGCTATATCAAATAAAATGCAAGGATTATTATTATTATTATTATAGCTTTTTCACAGTCACGATGGGCCGAATAGTCTCCTTCTGCGCTGTAAGATGCTACGATTCTAATTTTCCTATGCATCGCAGACGAAAAATGTATCCAAAGCGGGTGAAAATATCGCGAAATGCACACACACACACACACACAGGGGCATGGGGAAATGACAGAGGATAGTATAATGGTTTATATTACAATAGCATTGGGGTCAGGTTACATCCCATGATTGCCAGTTTCGTTATACAATGTTGTGCCA